AAGGTATTGTATCCTGCACACTTTCTGTGCACGGCTGTGAGTTTAATTTATGTTCTGGAATGATTATCATTTTGACTGTGTAGCCACTTATACAGTAAGTTGCTAATTTGGGGTTTTAATTGCACTGTTGAGCAGTGTAGGGATGTGAGGATGGTGAGAAGATAGGGGAGGTGATAAGAAATAAGATACTTATGAGAAAGATGAATTCAAAATGAGAGTTAAAATTATGAAAAGAACAGTGTGCCACCGGCAAGCCTTAGTGGGCTGCAAAACTGAGGGAAATAAAGGGTGAGACTTGGCCAGCCATTTTGTTGATCGCCTAAACAAATCAATCAAGACCCGCTGGAGCACACTAATTGAATTACACAAATGGGACCGGAGGGGGGTACACAAAGTGAAGCTGCTACAAAGCAACGACGGGGGTGGGTAGACCACTGCTTCAGGCACTTTCTGAAATTAATCATCCATCATTGCCCCTCCTTGCCTTTCTTTTGAATCCTCATCTGTACTTCTCCTACTCTTATCAGATTGTTATGTTCTTTCTCTCTTCCACTTATAAACAAGACCCTCTTTCCACCCCTTGTGTTCCCCTCAAAAACAAGATCGACATGGAGATTTTAATATGAATATTTAGTTAAAGAATTATGCGTTTTCTTAAATATGTCCTGTTATGGATTGAATGTAGTGAAGTATACTGAACTCTACTTCCCTGTTAACTGAGGATCTGCTAAATACTTCAATACAAGAATACCTTGATTTTTAGAATCTGAGTTGGCCTTCAGAAACATGTATTTGATGAACTCTGCCAAGGTAGTCTTCTTTGTTATCACACCTTGGCACCTCAGCGCTCCCCATCAGATCAGCCGGAGGCCTGCAGCGCTGTTAACCAGGGCAGCTGCCACGGCTGGGACAAATGTTCCAGACCCCAATGCCCATTACAGCCTTCTTTATGGAATGGATGAAGGCAGCGAACATACTGCAAGACAGTCAGGGTAGCAGTGGAGACTGGAAGGTTGTGTGTGTTGGTGAGCCGGGAGGGTCACTTTGACTGAGATGGAGACTAATTGGTCCACATAGAAGTGTGGTCATTATTATCAGGGACTTTATTTTCCCCAGCTGTACCCACTCTGTTTTCTTCTCTTAAATCTTAATGATACAGCATACATCATGGAATAACCCAGTGAGAAAAAAATGGCCCTTCTTTTCTCCTCTGACCCAGAAACCATGAATTATTACTCAGTAGGGGCAGTACTTGTTGGCGTTTATGGATGGTTGGTGTGGCCTGGAAGTGGTGGTCTCCTCCTGTGTCCTTTTAAGTGTCCAGTGCAAAATGTTGTGTAAATCAGTGGTCAATCTCACAATTAAAGCTTAATCCTTACAATGTAAAGTAATACATACTCAAGTACTGCTGCACGTGTCATATTTGTACCCGCAATTAGGTGTTTTCTAACTGTATCTTTTAAACAGTAAGTCACAATATTTAAATGTGCAGTTATTATATTAAAGTTAAATGAGCCATGCTTTTTGTCGACCATGCCATCTCTCTCTGAAGGCAGTATCTGTGGTATAAACAGTTTTTATGATTATATGAAATCGGGCAAAGAACTCATTTGGTGGTTGTGATTGTGAAAAGACGTCATAGCTGAAGACAGGGAAGACTTGCTATTAGGCCTCATACAGGAATAACAAAGCAAGTCTTAATCAGTAAACACCTATTGAGTAAACAGACTTGGCAGATATCTTTTATTGTGAAAGATAACTTTTATTTAATTTGTTGTGTTTTCTCCTTTCCTGATATGAGAAAATAAATGGCAATGGCCACTCAGAGCCTGGCTGGCAGCGTAAACTAAGTGTAATTATGCAAAACAGAGAGTGCAGTCATATTAAGAAAAGAAACAAGAAATTGGTAGAAATATATATATGCCTGTGAGAAGGGGGTATTTTGTGTTGCTTGCTGCTGCTTGAGATAGGAGATCAAAGAGGGGCTTTTCGAGCTCTTAGAGGTCTGTTGTCTTTAAATACTAATATTATCAGGCTTTACAACTGACCTGTAATGGTCACAAAATAGAAAGAAATGTTGTTCCCTTATATATGTGAGGAGATCATAAATGACATCAATGGAAATACATTAAATTAACCTCTTTAAGGTTTTAAAAAGACAAAGCTTGGATTGGAGGAAAACATATGAGAAGAGTGGAAATGATAAAGTGGACAGAAGAGATATACTCCCACAGTGTGACACAACACATGTAATAACAGCGGGATATTGCATCTCTGCTATGTGTGAATCTGACGGAGAGAGGAGCATAAAGCATCTTAAAATAGAACAAAGTTGTGATTTCTCTGTTGCGTTCCCTCTTTCTCAATCTCCTACATTTTTTATCCCTCTCCTTCTGGACTTTGGTTCGTCAAACATTTGTTCACGCAAATCTAATGAATTCAGTGTTAGCTGTTAAATTCTTCAATATTGCTGTTGTCAGTGTTAATTCAGTAAGATAAATTGTTACTCACCTTGATTTACAAGAGGGATAGAAAAATGTCTTATCCTTCTTTTCTATTTTACATTTTTGAGACAAAAAAAGACAAGTTAAATTCAGAAAATAAGAAATATAAATTAATAAGAACACATCTCTATTACTCATTTTCTCTCTCCTTTCTCTCCTTCTTGATTCTCCTGTGTTCAGCCTGTGGATAGAGTCTTATGTGTTCCTCACAATCCACTAAATAATAGCTAGAATATGTAATGAAGCCAGTAGGGGCTTGGAGACTATAGATAATACCCCCTAATGAGGAAACTCCACCAAAGAATAAGAAGAATAGATGAAACTCCCTCAATTCCCCTAAAACACTGTCTTATTTCTCTCCATGCTCTGTCTTTAACCAGGAGGTACACTTCACAGCAGCCGCTGTTGCTCTTAATTGGCTCTCAATTAATTTTGCTTGGCTCATTATCTGTCACCCTCTGCATGTCTGTGGTTTAGTAATGATGACCTTCAGTTGACATATGTTAAATATTCATTTAAGTAAAATACACATGTAATTGTTGGAAGCATTTAGACCTGCAGACCTTGAACAGTTGATATTCAGAGTGATGAGATATGAACTATGATAACAGAAAATGTCCTCTGACTTAGCTGTTTGGGATTGGTACAAAAAACAAGCTGTGGTCCACAACAAACCCTTCAACATTACTATTCATGAAGCTATGACAAAATTGCAACCTCAACTTTCGCCTACCAAAGATGTTATAATTTAGCACAGGGACTGAGGCTTACGAGCCTCTGGCAGAGCTTTCTGGAAGCGTCCACCCGGAGTTGAACTTCACACAGTCCTTACTTTGTGGTCTCTGCGGTGATGAGCAGTAGGTTTCTGAGCACATTCCAAGCCACCTGCCACCAGGCTGGCATTTGCTGTTCCAAGCACACATCAAACATCCAAATCAGATTCCTGCCTAAACGCAGAGCAAGGACTCCACCACCTGCACTCTGCAGGTAGACATTATTATTTTGTTCATGAGCTATGTGCCAGGAACAGCTCCCTCTGGGGGTTGAGGATGATCTGAGCTGTAGAGGGAAATGAAGAGAAGGGCAAAACATGGACGAGCTTAGATAGCTTCAGGTTGGTTTTCTTTTTCTAAGAGTAGATATCTTTGTTTTGACTCCAAGGTGTAAAATACTCCTAGAGTATTAGGCTGTGGCAAAGGAGGAAGCGTGACTAATCTTTATAATTAAACACGATCGATGATCTAATTTGGGGCACAGCTGAAAAACGTTATTAGACCAATGTTCCAGAATAGTTGCTTTGTACAACATTGTGTTCACTTTGATTGCTGATGTGATGGAGTAGGTTATGGTATATTACAAAGCATCCTGGGTAGCGGCTGGCGTATTGATGCTTCCTGGCTAAACGCTAACGAGCGATGGTGCTGTGTTTGTCAGGGAGGCCTGGGCTGCAATCTGTCTGCTGAGCCAGCCAGAAGCCCTAATGATATCATCAGGAAGTGCCGTCAACAGCGCTCTAACGAGGAATTATCTGACGCCCATTGTTTCACCTCCCTCTTCTGTCCTCCACGCCCCTCTCCACTGTTGTTGCTAAGCATTTATGTTGAGTTTATTTCACATACTATAGATACAATCCAAAATGTGATAATGTATACAGTACGTTTTAAACACTGAAGACCGAAGGGGTTCTTATAAAGCTGTATACCCTTAAAGACTATTATGCGGCAGTGAATTGAAATAGTGAAGGAAATAAACAAATATGACAAATTTATAAATAAATAAAAACATGAATAACAACTTAAAAAAGACTTTCAATTGCTAGTTTATCAGTTCATGCGGGTACAAATATATTTTCTATCCCTATATGTTTACAATATATAATTTAAGATTAGAATTTCTCTTAGCATTTGCACCAATGGAATGAGCTGTTGCATTATGCACCATGCCAGTGTTGATTGAAACATGAATATATGTCTGGATATTTTCCCATGACCCCTCTTTCTCCAACACACACAGACTCTCTTGGTGAGTACTATGCAAAGGGCAATTTGTTAGTCTTGCTCAGTTTACAGAACCATCTCAGCACCCTTTCCTATTACCTTTCATCACACTTACATCATTACTAAGTCTTTACAGCATTTCTTTTTTGAATAGATCCCATGTCTCATATGAGTTGCATACACCAACAGGGCTACCAATTTAGTGTGACTGATTCAGTCCACATTGTTATTTATTTAATTCCCCTTCTTTTTTTCTATGGATGGCTGAGGCTGGAGAGGAACACAGTTTGTCATGGCAGTCCGCATTAGCATTGCAGAGAGCAAGAGTTGTTGACAAAACGGTCCTGAGAAATTGAGAATACCTTGTATTAAGAAGATTGTCTGCAACTTCATGCCCTGTCACTGACAAATTGACTAATCTCCTTTTTCTGCTTTCTTTCTTTCTCTCTTGTTCTATCTTTCTCCCCTCCCCTCTTGTTTTTCTTGTTGTTTTTCCCAGGTGCCTTGCAGATCGAGAACAGCGAGGAGACCGACCAGGGGAAGTACGAGTGCGTGGCGTCTAATATGGAAGGCGTGCGCTACTCGGCCCCTGCCAACCTTTATGTGCGAGGTAGGGAGCAACCCGGCCCCGAATACAGGCCAACAAATACAAAGATCCACCCATTCGTACTAACAGTGCAGCTCAGCTTTAAGGGGCATTACTGTTGAGCTTAACAAATGATAATTGCTTCCATTCTAGCCCAGCTGTATTTGCACAAAATGTATTTTGCAAAATAGCATTACCCGAGTAATATCAATATTTTAATATTGCTACTATTGCCTGCCCACAAATGTAATTTTCATATGCACTGAAACTTCCAAATGTAAAACTATAATTGACCAACTAATGTTCTTCTCTGTGATGATGTTATGCTCCATTTTGTCTTTGAATGCCCTCCCCTACTCGCTTGGAAGGAAATGTGTAGCACAACAAGCCGTATGTCTTTACCCTATCCGTTGTAACGACGCCTGTTACCTCTTAATGTGTGCTCGACCAAATGTCTCCCCCTCCGTCCAAGTTACGGTATCCAAAAAGAGTCGGAAAAGTCTTCTTTTTGATTAGCTTCTTTCAGGTACAGGAGCGTAACGGTAAGTCTGGATTTTGATTGTGGGGCAAGGTATTAATGGCCACCAATCAAAATCTCAACCCCCTTCTCCTCCAGATTTAGAGGAAAAAAGGATTCCCTTGTGGTGAATTAATGGAAAGGGACTCTGAAAACAGTCAGCTGCTCTGTATTACAACACAATGCTCAATTGCATAGATTATAAATAGTGCTCTTCCTTTTTTTTTATTCATGGTGTTCTGGAGCACAAATCCATAGTATTCCCCTGTTTCTGCTTTGGGGTATTATCTTTAAATCATTATACAGTCAGAAGTCTTTTTGGCTGGCATGTTCCAGCAAAGTGAAGATATGAACAACAATCAGTCACAGGGAACGTTGAGTTTCACTGGAAACATGCAATGAAGACAAAAGCCTATCCCCTACCTCTAATGCTAAATGACAATGAATCCCTGTTGAGGGAGTTCTGATAAATTGAAGCAGATGCATTTTCAACATGTTTTATTTATATCGTGCATATTAAATAAAGATGCCTCGGTATCTACTCAGTTTGTTCCCTCTGCTGTGTACTAAATAACTTTGTTCCCGATAAATAATTCACTAGCCTGACATTATAAAATGGGTCAGGGAGCTGCTTTTTCATTATTATTGCTATTATCATACCCTGTGAAGTAGCAGAATAGGGAAGACAAATTATTTGAGCTGAGGAAGGTAAAAAATGGTTCATCAAGATTTGTGTCTCTCCTTGCCAGCATTCTTCCTTGAGGCTCATGCTGTCACCACTGTGAGGCATTGACACTTAACTTGAAGTAGCTATCCACTTTTTCAAGTACAGCATAGCAGAAGTTAGGAGGTTCACGGCAAATTACAGTCAAGAGCACTACAGGAATCATTACAAAACTATAATGGGAACTTTGTTGACACAGCAGTGGGTTATTTAGTAGGTCTTTTGGTCAAAAACACACAGCTATTCCCTGATATCATATCCAACAATTCATGCAAACTCCATGAACACTGGCTCCATCAGCATGCTTAATATAAACTACACAACGGTCATAATTAGTCAGGTACTTCCACAGTATGTAACACACTTGTTATGCCTTGATGGTGTCAACCTTTGTCTGTTTTCAGTTAACTTTTGTCAATCAATTCTGATACTTGATGTTGACTATGTTTTGTTCACAAAGCGAAATGCACTTGAGATTAGCAGCTGTGGTAGGGATCAATTTCCAGAAACAAAATAACAATCCTAAATTGTATCTGGGGCATACTTCATCAGGGAACAATTTAGTCTTCTTCCCAAACAGAAACTATAATGCCATTTGTACTGATTGGCTCCCAACAAAATTCACTGTTACTTTCTTAAACTGCAGCTGCTAATTTCAGCCCAAACTGTGTCTTTTTTCTTTTCTATCTCTCATTAGTTTTTCTTTATTTCTTTCTTTATTTTGTTTCCTTCTCTAACAAAGCAAATACAGCCACCACAGGAGCCTCTCCTTGTGGCTATAAGGAGCTTGTGAATTTTGAATTATGAGTATGGTACGCTTGATTTGACTCCAGTGGCGCCTCACTATTTTTTTCTTACCAGGCGACAGTGCAGCCACTGGAGTGTATCTGATTGTTTTGGTTCAAAGTTGATTTAAGGGGGAGGGGGGCCAGGCAAGTGTACTCTCTAGATGGGTGTCACTGATAGCAGGGTCAAGGGAAAGGGAGGAAAAAACGAGTTAAAGAAAAGGGAAATGTAGCTGCAGCTAAACACCTTGAGGTGGCTTTTTTTACTCTCTCTGTGTTTCCCCTATTTTTCTCTTCTCCTCATGTCATTGTGTTCTGCATCAACCCCTTTACATCCCTCAGAGCTTCGAGAAGGTTGGTGTGTTTTTTCTTTTTTACTTTTTTTAACCCACATTTGAAAAAAAAAAAATTCAACATGTTGAACATTTTTAGCTGTATTTGCCTATTGCAGAGCTCGATTCATTACTAATTTGAAGAAATACTAATCAGTTTATCCAAACTGCTAAATGATTATGAAAGAAATGTATCTTAATTTCGAGGAAGAAATGATGAAAGCAAACCTGATTAGCTCGGGTCTTGTTAAATTACCTTTATGTTTGCATTGTGGGGCCTTTTCTCGTTTTGCATCCTTTGGTATTGCTTCTGCACCTAAAGGCTTTCTTGCACGTGTTGTCATGGACACCCAGCACGTGGAAATAACAGAACTTGTTGCATGATGGGAGAATGTAACTGCGCTCGCATGCCTGTACAAAAATCCCTTTGGCCGTGTTGGTCTTTTTCTTTCTGCATTCCTTGTGTGGTTTGTTCAATTGATTTCTTCTCTTCCCTTGGTTTCTCAACAAGTGTTTTCCCTGATACAACCTGATATTTTGGCTTTCCTTTATTTAGTATTTTTTTGTGTTGTGATTACCGTGTTGTGTTTGTGAGTTTTCCTTTGTTTCAGTTATTTTCCTGATCTTACTTTTCTGTTACAAAGTGTTTGTCTTTTTGTAGTTAATTTGTATGTGAGAGTTGTGTTTCTTTTTCACAATGATGCTGCTCTGCTTCTTGATTCTCGGAGTGCAAATGCAAATGCCGAATGAAATAATAAGTGTGTATACAGCCAGTCTTCCTGTCATCTTGTTTATAGCAATCATTGCTGAAAAAATTAGACCTGATTGGGCCTGATTGGGTTCCATGGTGATTTCAGGCAGCCATTAAGGGATGCCATTTACAGTGCCGCGTGGATCAATAACAATATAATGACTTCAACATCACGTTCGCTGTTGCTTAGCTGGTGCTCAGAGATATTTTTATTTTTAAATAGCTGTAGCTAGATGTGATTGGTTTCGTATAGTGACTGCTGTTTGGGATCCCTTGCAGTAATGACACTCAATCATATTATAATGTATTATTTGAGACCCCTCCTTTTCTTAAACATACACACTCTGAATAAAATAGATGTGTAGGTTAACAAGACAACAGTAATGGCGATCCTCTAACTGGACTTAAAGGATACACACTCGTGTGTTCTGTTATGCATTTATACTGTAGTCATACAACAAACATGAGGAGAAAGTAATGCATGACTCTGAGTTCAATGCAAGCAGCTTTCTGATTATTTATATTGCAGTTGGCTTTGACCATCTCTTAAAGAGTTGTACCTACTGTACGGTAAATGTCAGCACCAACATGGACGCCAGGCCTATCCAACTGAATCATATCTATACTGAATATCATGTCACCACCCGCAGTTCTTGCCGGTAAATATTATGGCTCCAGTATTCTTATGAATACTTCAGATAGATATTTTTTTTAAGGAGCCATTTTTTTGGGCTATTATACACATGGCTCAACAACACTGCACATATTAGGCATATCATACATTTAGGCAGATAGATTAAACAATGTCATCCCTATAATTCTCCTCTAAGAGGGGAGTCTTTTTATCAGTCCCTCATTTGATCAGTCTTATTTGATCTCTGTATCTGATATCTGATAGCTTTATTGGTAATGACTACTGTCCCAATGCCAAAAACAACAACAGTTCCCATAGTTCCTGAGCCATTTTGCTTTGTAAGAGTTAGTCACACTAACCAAAATGAGATCCCATGATAGATTTATTTCACTTGCTCCAGCTACATCATTCATCCATAAAGACAGTCATTAGACAAATATATATAATCATCCCTTCTAAAATAGCAGTTATCTCAGACAAAAAAAGCGGGCTTCAATTCCAACCCCTGTAAGCACCAATTGGTTATCCAAAGATTTTCTATCAGTAAGTGTAGCAGTTGAGTCTGTAAAGAAACGCCAATCAATAATCTGTCATTCCGCCCCTCTACATAATAATGTCCACAAAACATGGCACAATCCCATTGTAGGATACTCAGAATATTGAAAGCCTGAAAATGTCTATATTTAACTGATCAATTCTAAGAATAACACTGATGCAGAAAGACTGTGCTGTGACGTACGCATGTGCATGTTTGCCCTCCTTCAATGGTATCTGCCTGACTTTGAATGTGCTTGCATGTCCTGCTCTGCATTTGTGTGTAACGTTGGGAAAGAAAGCTAGATTACACCTTATGTTCTCACTGGCCAAAGCAAAATCCTGCCATCTCTATTAGATGTTTGTCTCAAGGAGTCCTGAAGTTATTAGTCACCTTCAAAACGTTTCTCGTTGCTATCAGAAGTGCATTTAGTTTTCATCCAAAACAAAGGTTTCCTCACCTGTTTTATAATACAAATATGAATACACTCCCTTTCTTCAATCTGACTTATAATAATCACTGAAGGGATCACTACACTGAGTAGACATGGCATCTACATGTAAAACAATAGAAAATGTTATACACTCTAAAATCCCCTAAATCCGCTGCTTGCTATCATTAGCTACCCCTGCCAAGATTCCCAACCGTTTCCTTTAGGTAATAATTTCCATTTTGATGAGCCACGAATAGTGACTTTTTAACATTGGCGCAGCCGAGGTATGTTAATGCAGGCCGAGCCCCTGCGGCTTATATGTAAATGCTGCGGGCCTCACCCAGCAAGTGTGACTAAAGGATCTCCATACTGCGCCTGTATCCTCAGGCAGCAAGAGGGTGTAATCTCAGCTTCAAGGTGACAATAAAGGCTGCACATTATTTTGGCTTCCCCCTTCATTTTGGGGCAGCAAAAACTGCCTCACCAAAATGGCCGATAATGTCCACCTTCTGACCTCTGTTTTTTGGCACAAATCCCTCCACAACACCGCCCACTATAAGAGTTAGTGCAGTACTCTGGCGTTCTCTCTCGACTGCTTTTCACCTCGTCCAATGTAAGGCTTCTTGTCTTTTTCTCCACATTGAGGCTTGAAACAAGATTTTAAGTAGTCCAAATGAAAGGTATATGTTTGTTTTACTATCTCTCCATTCCAAATGGTCCGGCTGGGCTCCTGGTCTCTATGAAATAGGAGCCTGTCTATGCAATTGGGATTCTTTATTTTCTTAGTTTCACTTGCTTTCCATGTCAAGGGTAGGATAGCAGAAGTGCCACTCGCACACATACACACAGGTTTAGTTAGCTAACATGACCATTGACATGTGCGTTACCTACGGGACTGCATAATCATAGTTTAATTACTCATTGCATGTGATACTGACATTTATACACAGATTAGGTTGCTCTCCTAGTTTCTATAGGGTTTTAACATTGATTGTTGTCTCCTCCAAAATAGAGCTTAATTTACTGTAGCATCAACTGACCTTGAGCTCTTGATCTTCTGTTGTAACCAGACCATATGTATTTGTGTCGGACACACTTTGGATGCTGTTGAAAGGTAGATTCCCCCCAATTCTCCATAATCTGCGAGTACCCCAGTGCCATGAAAACATTAAGAACGTTTTTTTTGTGATCCTTAGGCAGTCATTTTGCAGGAGGTTAGTGTTAGTCCCCTCTTTGCCCTGCAGTGTAGGTGCACAAAGGTGAACAGAAAAATCTTCCTGTGGGGAAACCCCTTTCACTCAGTTGCTTCAGCTTGTAGGTAACTGGCTGACCTGAGCTCATGGGAGAGAAGTGCACTATAAGACACACTTTTTTGGACCTTTCTGCCCTATTTAGTTTCCACCATTCTTTTGGATTGGAACCAAATTTCAAGCAGAGACAAATCATAGCCAAAAACATCTAATAGTATTGATGCATAACTTTTTGTCCAACACAGCTGCACTCAGCACGCTGTAATGTCTATGCTTGAACTTAGTTATTTTTTCGTCGACTTGTTCGGCTTGATTTACTCTCTTTTATTTGAATGTATTGTGTGTGTCTTGAACAAGCTACATTCGGGAATTAATGGCATGCTTGGATGGGCTTGGGTGACTTTTTTTTTTATTGTATTGGTTCTGCCTAAGTAGACCTGTATATGTCACTCATGCCATAGCCACACCCATGCATGTCTGTCTGAGGAATGGGCTGCCTTTTCACCTTTGTTGTTAAGTAAGGCATCTTTTTGGACACATTACAACACAGTGATAATATTTTATGTCCTTTTTTGGCCTTTTTTTCCACTTCAACATGTTTTGGAATAACTCCAATTTAGACCTCCTATTTATATAATCATACTTGTCATAAAGACACAAAGCATAATATCTTAACCAAAAGGTAATGCAACCCATTCAATTTAATTGTATTATTTTTATAGTTAGATCAGGGAAGAACAGGTCAGATTCTTAGTTACTATTTCAATGGATCTTTTGTAGCCGTGTTTTGATTCTAATTTATGGAAATTTGACATTTTTCAAGGACAGAATACTCAACCATTGGTTCTTGGTACATGTTTTGCCAAATCAGTGTGGGAGTTTGTGTACCACAAAAGAGCATTTTCTCAAAGGTCAACGATGAAGTTTTTGCTCTCTAGCTTAGGTCATGTCTTGCCCAAGGTAGAAACATAATTGACATTATCAGTGAATTACAGGACTTAGATAATGAATGTAAAGTACTAGAGAGAAGGACACATCAAAAGCCTAACAGTGGCTGCAGAAGGTCTCCACCCATTTTTTATTCCCTTTTAACTATAACTTTTAATGTTTACTATGGATATGGCTGATACAATCCAGCAACAGTAGATGCATTTTGACCATTTGGATATTGCACATAATGCTAGCTTGCATTAGATTACTAACCTATTTGGCAATGCTATATACATTTGAGTGATTGTTTTTCCTCGTTGCTCAGGTCAGAAAATGGCAGTTCTTTGGTTAATATCCCCGTAGAGTGTTTGTAGGTGATAAGTGTCCCATGCAACGATCATATGAATCCCATTTGGATCGACACGGTATATTTTGGAATGCTACCTATCCTACCTCTCAGTCTCCCCCCCGAATCTCCCCCTTAATCCCCACACACACCTCACATCCCCCACCCAAACACTTCCCAAGTGACATTTGCATTGAGGTGCAATGTTTAAGGTGGGATGGAGGGGAGGTGTACTTTATTCTTGATTTCAAGCCCCAGTGTGTGAGACCTCAAAAACCCACTTTGAGCCATGGTCTATTGTTTTGTTTTGATTTGTTTTTAAAATCACAGTCTCCCTTTTCTATCCTTCACTTATGCCCTCTTCCTCCTTCCCTTTCTAAGACAATCAAACCCAAACCCCTTCCCCTTTGCGTACTGTACAGTATGTCTGCGTGCCCATACGTCACTGTCTGTCTGCCCGTCTCCCTCTGTCTTCTTGTCTGCTGTCTTGCTGCTTGAGTCTGTTTTGTTCTGCCTCGTGTCCTGTCTCTCGTGTCCTGTCTCTCGTGTCCTGTCTCTCGTGTCCTGTCTTTCCTGTCGTGTCTATCTGTCTGTCTCTTAGTCAGCTCTTCCATTTAGTTGATCATTTTTTACTCCTACATTGGCACTACATTGCTTCTCTCTCTTTGATCTACTACATCCCAACAAACATTTTGACATTAAATAGATGTAGATACTTTGGTTTTAGTTTGTGTTAGTCCATAATTGTTGTCTGTATCTTTTTTGGTTGAATTTATAACTCAAATGTGTATTACAGTAAGTTGTTTTTTTTGTCCATATTGGCTTAATATATATATTTGTTATTGTAACAAAAAATATTTTTGCATTAGACTGATTAGCAAAATGGGCACTTATCCAACACATTGTGGTGCTTAGGCAAAGCAAACAATAAGATTGCTCAGTCAGTGTTGAACATGGTCACCTCTTGCATGATGTATTTGTCAAGTGCTTGCTGGGATGCCTCTCATGAACACTGTGTTTCTGCTAACTCATACTCTTTCACTTTCTAACTCTTGCATACTGTACACACGCACTCATGCCTATACCAACGCAGAAAATATATACATCCATGTATATACACATATACACACATTTAATGACACAGTACCTTTCACGCCCTTCCAATGTGTCTCAGACTCATTTTCAACCTCCTCCACTCAACTCCTATTCATGAGTTTTGAGGTCCTCCCTGTCCCTCTCTTAGCTGCCATTCTGCCCTAATACATTTACCTTTCTATTTCCCTTTCCCTCGAACTCTCTTTCTTGTCCTCTGGATTTCTACACCCTGTTGATCCAGTTCTGTTTCTTGACTCCAACACTCTGTGATTGTAGATTCTCTAGCTACAACTACCAGTTCTTTTCTATGTATTTCTAGGCACATACCTTGTTCTGCAATACGTATTTTGTGTTAACTGGGACTGCGATGTGACAATGTGCCACCATCACATTTTGTCACATTTGCTGAAGAAAAACAAAGTTTACACAGCATTGAAGTGGGTTACCCACTCTTCACCCTCCTCCAAACCTTCCCCTCTCTTTTTTCTTCCTCTGACACTCTTTGTTCCTCTCCTCAGAAACTTTATCCTCTGTCTTGTATTTCTTCTTTCCTCTCCAATCGTCTTTTGTCTGGGCATGCTAGCGACCCTTCAGTTATATTCCTCTATGCATTTTACCTCAATTTTTATATCTGATTTTGTTATCATTTACTTCTTAATTTACCTCGGTCTATTTATGCATGCTGTCTGTGAAACTGATAGCTGCATCTATCAATGGAACCGTGTCAGATCTTAATAAGGCTTTGTCCAGTGGATCTACCCTAAACCACAAAAATCTGATTAAAGTTTCTCATCTTTAAGATATCTAGGTAGAAAGACAGGTGTCAAGTGCAAACTTATGCTGGAATGTGTTTAGAGGTCTTGAAGAGATGGTCAGAGCCCAGTAACCCTACACTTCCTGTGCTACGGGAGAAGCCTGTGATGGCCTATATCCTGTTTGGCATGTGTGCCTGAGAGGACAGGAAGTTCCAGGTTGCCATGGCGGCTTTATGTGATAGCATTATCACATGGCCTTTACTACACACCTTCATACTTCGTGATCAGGTTATGCTGTAGTTGTATGTATTAGCAGTTCAGTTTCAAAGATGAGAAACTCATAATAGATTTTTGTGACTTTAATTGTGCTGTGATGGGTCAAATATTGGTCAATGGAACCTTGTTGCTATGAATCGTTGCTTTATTGTTAATCTACTTTGTTGTTGAAGCAGTTCTGTTAGTTTAGTTCTTTCTCATTTGTATATTATTTCTGTTTTGAAAAGTCTACTTCTTTTATTTTGTGTTTCAGTTCACATGTACCATGTTGAACCTTTTGTGTTGAATATTTCCTTGAGAAGGGTCCATTTTCAACGGCCTCTCTTGTTACCTCTCTCTTTTTTTTGACTCCCTTGCCCTTTTTTGTCATCCTCTCCCCTTCCTCATGCCTTCTCCCAGTCCGGCGGGTTCCTCCTCGCTTCTCCATTCCACCAACGAGTCAGGAAATTATGCCAGGTGGCAGTGTGAACATAACATGTGTGGCGGTAGGGTCGCCCATGCCTTACGTCAAGTGGATGCTGAACACAGAGGATTTGACACCGGAGGACGAGATGCCAGTGGGCAGGAATGTTCTCGAACTGAGCAGCGTCCGTGAGTCAGCCAACTACACCTGCGTGGCTATGAGCAGCCTCGGCATCATTGAAGCTGTGGCGCAGATCACTGTCAAATGTAAGAGAAAACTGTGCTTGTAAAGAGTTGTATAAACAAATATTATATGCATTTAAGTCTTAAATAATGTACAGAAAAGTTCAGTTACAATGTGAACGCTAGAAAAACAAATGGGACAAGAGTGTGTTTTATTAGATGCATTCTGGTGTCCATCTGCAGACTGTTTGTAGTCCAAGTATTATTGACTCATCACATTTGAGTGGACTTGGTTGTTGCATTTAAACAATCTGTGTGAAGAAAAGATTTTTTTTAGACGCATATTCAGATATATGTTTATAGAGATTAGCCATAGAGGTTGTTTCCTCCAACGACATTCCCGCAACTCAAGTTAACATTTGAACTGTTAACGTTATGGTTATCTTAAAATGTGCTGGCTTCATCGGAATCCCCTAAAATATTTGGCCATTGCCCCCAGAGGCTAAATAGTGTCAGTACAATAGCCGACTTTATCAAGATTGAAACATGTATTGGTGTTATACAATTTGAACATTTTCAGTTTTTGCTACAAAGTTCTTTGATCAGTTCATATCTTGAAAAATGACTGTTTTCTCTTCCCGTCCTGTTTTGTCACCATAACAGCTCTTCCCAAGCCTCCAGGTACCCCCGTGGTTACTGAAACCACTGCCACCAGTGTGACCATCACCTGGGACTCAGGCAACCCAGACCCAGTGACTTACTATATCATCCAGTATAGGGCCAAGTCCCCAGACAGCAAGTATGAGACTGTGGACGACATCACCACTACACGTTACAGCATTGGTGGCCTCTATCCCAACACAGAGTATGAAATCCGTGTCTCAGCTGTCAACACAATCGGCCAGGGTCCTCCCAGTGAACCAGTAGAAACTCGGACTGGTGAACAGGCCCCTGCCAGTCCCCCACGGAACATACAGGCACAGATTATATCCCAAAACACCATGATGGTTCGCTGGGAAGAGCCTGAGGAGCCCAATGGGCAGATCAAGGGCTATCGCGTTTATTACACAATGGACGACTCCCAACCCATGAGCCTTTGGCAGATCCACAATGTTCAGGACAGCGTTCTCACCACTATCCAGAGTCTGGTTCCTCAAGAGACATACACAATAAAAGTCCTAGCATTCACTTCTGTAGGAGACGGACCCTTCTCGGAGCCCATCCATGTCAAAGTACTGCAAGGAGGTAAGAATAGGAAAACTGATTTTGAGTTTAAACTTGGCAAAGTATTTTTACTTTCATTGCTGTCTGTGAATTTCATACTTGGCAATATTGCATACAATAGTCTCCTGTAAGATGTACAAAAAGGTTGTTAAGTAGGTTTGAAATGAGTTAAACAGAAACTAGTGAAAGCTGCATTTGTTCTCCTGCCTTCTGCTGGAGGAGAAGACTTTGACAGCCAATGAAGAACATCTTCAGCTGTTTTTGTGCATCAGCAGCACAGTTTCTGAAACTTTAAACAGAACGTGCCTGCTGCCAGACAGACAAGTTTTCACCCCTGCTGTGCAAGGTTCACCCACACAGCTGCGGCCTCTGCAAATGATGACAAAAGTATGTTTGATCATGGCAGTCTGGAAAAAAACAGCCGCATTTCAGAAATGAGAAAAAATCTGAGAACTCACCAGTAGTAGTTTCTGAGCTGAGCAAAATCACTCCATCCATGCAAGGGCAAGGAGGCACGTCCATTTCAGAGACTCCACCATAAGCAGATTGCGACTGGGGAAAACATTATTGTACTTATTTATAATCTTTTTTTCTCAATCTAATCTTCCTCCATTTTATACCAAATATCATGATATTCATTGTGGTATGTGTAGAAATCTATGAACAGGCAAAAGTACTTAATTTTACACATTCTTAACACCCTATTTGTAATGGTAGTTTGGCTGTATCAAAGTGTACAGTATAATTAATTCCTATCTCTTTACAAATGTCTAGTAATACATTCTTCAACGTCCTGCTATGTTCTTCAGTTCCAGGTCAACCATCCAAATTTCAGGTTGGTGCTGTGTCCGATACCAGCATTGAACTGACCTGGGAAGCAGCCTATGAGAAAGAAGGAATTGTAAACTATGAACTTCGCTACAGGGAAGGCAGCTTTGGGACCCAGGTAAGAATTCAATTTTCTTTTCTTTTTTCAATACTTTTCTCACTGACAGATGTACATCACCCTTTCATGATCTAACATTGTCAATAACATCGCTCTCGCTCAATAGATGAAGAAAACATTTGGGCCCGCATCTTCATATGTTGTGGGAAATCTCCGCCCAAACACTGAGTACCACTTCTCCATGGCAGCCATCTCTAACAAAGGCATTGGAGCCTTCACCAATGAAATAACACAGAAGACCTTGCAAGCCAGTATGTAGCCCTTTATTTGGTTTTCTCTCCTCTTCTCTGTGGGTTGGCTAACAAGCATTTTCTCCAGGAAAGCAGTAAAATGATTGTATGCCTTGTTTGAAGTGAATTCTAATGAGGTTATGTGCGCATTTTCTTTTACTAGAGATTGTCAATGGTATTTCCTGTGATGTCAACGGCACCATCCCCTTTGAACTATGACTGTGTTATCTTGGACATGATCAGGGTTCAAAGCTGATTCAGAAATTGAACTACATAATAAGCTGACTTAACTAATGTGTCATTGACTTCATTCTAAAACACATTGTTTTTGCATCTTGATTATGTTAACCTCAGTGTAACAATATTAGTATGATAACTTATGTAGACCAACATTTATGTTTTTTGGTGATTTAAGGTTAAAATTAGGCTACAAATGGCTAACATCACTTTTTTAGTTTTTTACAACCTTTTCATTTTAGAATTACCTTATTTTATAAGGTGACTCTGGTGCCAACAATGCATGAGTGTAAATGAATTCTACCTACACTTACAATTGTGGCCGTTTATTTTTTACCCCTTTCACATTTATTCATATTTGCTTTTCCTTTATCAACAGCAAGTGCACTTTCTTCCGTGTAACAGAGACACAAAAAATGTCAGCTCTCCTCTGTGACCGCCAAGGCTCTCATATGAACTGTATTCAAATTGGAGATGGGGAATTTGCTGTTGAGTTTACTCATTAAAGAAAAACACAATCAGCAGTCACCAAAATACTTGCATGCCAACTTCCTGAATGTATTCCAGTATATCAGTTCTGCCCTGATTATTTTCATTTTACAGATGGCAGGAACACAAATGAATTATTTAAAACCACCCTGCTAAAAATAACATTAGTGATATAATAACTTGCAGTAGTGCACGCTGTGGGGAAAGAAAATACACACAGCTTATCCAATCAAATATCCAATAGTAGCCAAGGAACTGTAGGAATGACAGGGTATGAAATTCATGTATTTTGGGTTTATACAGCACACAAAGATGAACAATGACATTGTGTATTGAAATTTAATGCATTAATGGTACAGAGCCGGGAAAATGCAGCCAGGTTTAGGGGATTAGTGGCTGCACTGAGGTTGTTATTGTGGATCCTGCAGATACAGAATATATAAAGGCAGGGATAAAGATAAATGCATAGATTCATTGTGGGAGTGGCTGTCTTTACTGTAAATAAATTGGCAAGGACCTTTACTGGGACATAGGAGAGCCATGGCGGTGGGAGTAGACTTCTTTTAACACATTTTCTGTTTCTACCAGTGCAACTTGTTGGATGTACCCCCACATCCGGCTGTGGGGGCTTTGGAACTACCACTTCACAGTTCTTTTTGGTACTGTTGGGCAGCAGGGCTACACAGTGCAGAGTCACTGAGGAGAGCGCCAGTTGCATGTGACATTCAATCCTGCCCACTGGGGTAGCTGTTGAGAAACTATCACTGCATTGTTGATCTTTGATCATTCCAAGCATGAGAATAATTTTCTGTTCATTCAGTACCATTCTTGTCTTGGCGTCTCTCGAGTGTGTGTGCACATCTTCACCTGTCGATGTGTGTTTGTGATTTCCTTACCTCTGTTTTTGCATTTGTTCTTGACTGGTAAACCACAAGCTGATTGAATTGGATACACTCCTCTCTTCCTCTCACATCACACTATTCCAGCTGTGTTTCTCTATTTGCCACCTGTTCCCCTGTACAAAGGAACAAAAGCTCTCCCTGGAATGGCTTGACATCTCCTTTCTCACTTTGTGTCCTCCTCCTTTTATGTTTTATGAGTCTTTTGAAAAATAATATGTGGGTTGGATTTTTTTTTTTTCCTGTTACTTTTGGGGTTATTCAAAAATAATAGCGGTTTGACATCATTCCAAACTGTAGCTTGCTGCTATTTTCATGCCCAAGTCGGGTTCTTGCATGAAACCAAGTCCACGACAGACACAGGCAACTACACTGAAGGCAGAGCAGACAAAACAATACTTTTGCCCATTCAACAAAGAAGTCAAACTGATGGCTTTTTTCAAGTCTCGAGACAAGGGGCTCCTCCGTCAAAATATATCACAAGTTTCTTTTGCAAATGGGATACACATCCATTGGTTTGTCATTGCTGAGGTCAGAAAAGTTCCATACAAAGTAAGACAAAGTAAAATATTTCCCACAACACAAAAAATAACTTGATCTGTTGGATCCGTTAAGGTAAGTGATTGCGTGGTTAAGGGATTCAGTCTGCCATAACCTTAAAGACCTTTACATATTAATTAATCCAACTGTTGTTTTTTTTCTGAAACACTAACAGAAAATTGAAAGCATAGAGTAAGCATTCCTAATGACAGGGTTAAATATTAAACTGACTTGTCTGCTGTTTGGCTTGTCTTACAGGTCAGGAATAGCAGCATGTTTATTTATCCAAGTCAATAAAGATATTGTGACATGTATAGCTTAAATGGAGTGTCTACAGTGCGATAAAACAGTTTAAACTGTCAGCCTTTTGGAAAGACACCAGAAGAAAATCACATTATGTATGTAATAAAAAGGAGCCTGTAGGCCACACATGGACACACATGTCCTTGGGTCAAAAAATAAACTGTAGTGTCTGGGGTACCATAGGCCCATACAATACACCAACAAAAGTAAAACACACAGCATTAAATAAAAATGATTATTTTAATCAAATCAGACAACAGAGAAATGACTGTACACAATTTTGACATTCTTTTATTGGCTTTTTGCTTTGATGGGGCCATTTTCTCCTTGCAGCCTTCCAGAACCTTTTCAAGCTGAATTTGAACCCAATGCTTATCAAGCAGACTGAAACCCTTTTCCACTAAGTAAAAAGCAAGCCAGACAACATGATGTGCTTTATGTTTGCTTTATTGTCCATTATTTGTGGTACAAAATGTGTGCAGTTTGTTGAAGTGCTCAGTCCAAGCAGCATTACCAGGGGCTTTTGTCATGGGGACTACTCTGTCACTAACTCGTAAAAAGTTACTGCCATAAAAAAATAATTGTTATGCTTATTTACTCCAACGTGAGTGCACCAAGTATCTTCTCAAATTAAAGATCTCCACAACTATTCTATTGGTCTTTCAATCGATAATCCAGCAGGCTGAAACCAATTCACGAGTTTTTTTACTGGCAACAGTAGCCCTCATTCAGAAGCAAGGCCTCTTTTGGTATGCTGCCATAATAAGACCAGGTTGAGAAAACACATTTGTGAGACTGTTCAGACGTGGCCGGAGTGTGTCCACAACCCGAGAGCTGGGAGGGCTCCCCCCATTCTTCGAGCTGTAACCCAGTTGCAAGCCATTTTGACCTAAGATGGACCCTGGGAGTGGGTGTTAGGGGACTGCACGGCCCTAGAGTGTCAGATAAGAATCCCATTTCATAGCATCAGAATTAATTTCATGCTTTGCGATGAGCCAGGCCCCTGGATTGTCAAGCTTTGTTACACATTTAGATTATACCTAGAACCTGCCAGTAGCCAGTCATCTATCTCTCAAATTAAAGTGGCAGATTCTTAATCCTCTGTGTTTAGCCAAACACGCAGTTCAGCCCGCCCACTTACTGTAATTGCGGGTGTTTTTTTAGAAATATTGGACATTTTGTTTGAGCCACAGCATGGCCATTTGGCATCGGGGGGATTAATTCCATAATGATCTATGAACATCCTGTCATCCAAGGCTTCTAACGAAAAAACGATTCAAATGCACACATGTGCTTATACTACGATAGCAAAAAGCATTGGCATACTGCGTCATTTAAGATTTAGTGTGTTTGTTATTCATATCCACTAAGTATGTCACAGTTTCTTATCTGAGGATGTCATAATGATTAGGTAGGACACCATTACTAGACATTACAGATTGTATATCAAGAGCTCTTACTCATATCACAACAGACCAACATCAAAGTGAAGAAAATGAATGCAGAAATGATTTATTATTCGTCAAATAGCATTTGGGAAACTCTTTCTGGGAAGCTTCAAAAGAACCTCAAGTGAGTTTCTTCTTTTGTGGTTGTATAGTTCTTCTATCCATAATCCCAACACTGGCCTTCATGGGATATGCACTTTATTAAAGCTTTGCCTCAGCTAGTCTTAAACCCTTATCAGGCATGAGGATGCCTGTGCACTGTGATAGCCTGGCCCCTGTAAGATTCTCAGCCTTTTTCGCACCACAAAGATTGAGAACTGAGCAATCATTCTTGACGTGGAGAGTTTGCAAATACAATATGAGCGGAGGAAAGAAGCTGAAAGGCTCAGAATCCAGTAAGACCGTAAGTAAATAAGCCCATTGGACACAGAGAAGGGTTTGGGAACTGTGGCTGAGGTCCTGCCCTATTTGTTGTGTGCTGGAACATGCCGTCCTCACTGGGAGGAGTCTTTTATGATAGTCAGATCCCTTGTCTGTTATTTTCATTTTGTTGCTCTCCTGCCTAAAATTACACTGCAGTCAAAGCACTGTAGTTAAACTTTTATGAAGTCAGAAATACACGCCTACCATCTTTCTTTCTCTATTCTTGTGTGTTAGCATTCTCCAAATGACAGTACGATTTATGAACATACATAGGCAGCAGGCTATGAAATGGGATTTATTTAAACACATTTTTAACATGGAAGGTTGTCAGTGTACAAAGTCCAGAAGAAAAGAATATCTTGGGAGTGAGTTTTCCCATTATGGCTTCCCCTCTCACAGTCTTGTGGACGCTCCGGCCCAAAGATACATGAGTATTAAACAGCCCTCGCTACAGCACAGAGCCAGCTCTCTCCCTCTCAATAACCCACACATGTCTCCAAAACAACCTCTAAATGAGACAAAATTAAAGGTATTATTGATTGATTTAAAACTGGGATGATATTCAACATTTCTGGCTTGAGAGGGAGAGTGTTGCTGTTCACTGGCTATAGAGTAAGCACGCTCTGTAGTCAGGTGCTGGTGGTAAGAAAGTCTTAAACATGTAGTATTTGTGGGAGTCAGGTACGTATAATGCAGACAATGCCAGTAATTTATTTGTGTTTGTTGGTGGTTGTTTTGTTTTTTTAAGTATAATGTTATTATTTTTAGTTTATGCTGAGTATTTTGTTTTTCATGTTTTTTTTTGTCATTTTGAACCTTAACTGTTGTTGTGGTTCTTTCTTTCGAGTCACCTGGGTTACAGAGAAATTCATTTCCCAGTACCCTCCTTTAGTTCATAATTTATTTCTTTAGCTTTTCTTTTGGAATGACAATATGCTGCTTGTTTCCATGGGTATTATTTGATTTCTGTTTTCTGAGTTGCTATGTGTGGAATGCTTTTTTTCCGATGGTACTTCATTGTGTTTTTGTTTACTGTGCTATTTTCCCCTTGCATAACAGAGAAAAAATGTAATAATGAACTGGGGTTGTCACACCAAGATGGAGGGAATATATTCTCACACAAAAATTAGGAGGATAAAGAAAACCCGACATGGATAGAAATATTTTCATACATGTCCTTTTATCCGTATAATACCAAACTCTGGATGAGAAGTGAAACATTTTATCGCTCCCTGCACAGCACACTGTGGTCGAGCACAAGCTGTGTAAGACCTTGGCACAGATTAGAAGTGAGAGGCATTGAATTTGATTTTGAAAGTTCACAGATGTGTAGGTTTTAATATTTGCTGGAAGAACACTTCAGACACAAGTAAAAGAGTGTTTTTAAACTGTAAGAAATGAAAAAGAACACTACCTCCCTGCTAGCTTATAACAATACATACAGTAGGACCATATTGTCTTAGTCAATGCCAATTTGTTCTAACTTCTGCTACAAAAAATGCTTTTAAATGGATGGCTCAATCATGCTCATTTAAAGAAAGATGGACAAGACAATGGCAATGATACATTGAACTAACAATGCATATTAACACCAAACATATTTTTGAAAATATTCACTTATTTGTGTCCTGGCTTTATGACAGTATGTCATTTATCCTCATGTGGACAATCAAGTGGCTTAGTGGTTGCAATAATTACAGAGACCCTGTGGGAGGAAATTAGTTTATATATTTTAGTTTTAGTAAGGATTAAGCTAAGTGTGAATAAAATACACACCAGTTCATCTGGAACTGAACTGGGAAACAGCAGGCATATTGAGTAAAGGCTTTAACAAGGATAGCAAGACAATATTCTTCTCCTGTATTGTTAAACAAAGGAGAACAGACACGTGGGTTCTGTTGTAAGTAGGGCTTAAGATCACAATGTTTTTGAGAACTTATTTTTCTTGAATAATTATTACATTGCTATGTTGATATCCTCAGTGATAGTAAAACAAGTGACCGAGATCATGTAAGTGTACTATGTATTAATTTATTGAGCAGTACTTAAATCAGGTTTTAAAATTGTTTGACTGATAGAGATCATGTAATGTTATTATTTTTATTGATCGTTATGAACCTGTCTGAGGACCACAGATGGAAATTAGCTATTAGCTATAATCTGGCATATTGCATCTCTTCTCTTTGCTGAGATTAATGTTTTTGTATGCATGGTCCTTCTATAAATACATTTTAAAAATAAATACATTTAAAAAAAACACTGCTTGAGCAAAAAATAAATACCATGACGCTTTTGTTTACTGCACTAGTCCCTAGTTATTTCAAAAGGGTATAGCCATCTTGTTTCATTATTACAAAATCATGTGCCATTGTCCATATAAGCCTCTTCTGTTGACATTTGCTTGATGATTTTTTTAAACATAGTTTGCCTCAGCCTTTGTTTTTGCAATTTTTTGGTTTGAATTAGTCTTGTTGTTTTTTCTTTATCCTTTTATCATTTTCTTTATCTCTCCCATCTTTTTATTTTTTTGTTTTTCACCCCTTCCTTCCTCCTTTCCCCGTCCTCCTCGTCCTCGACCCCCTTCCTTCCTGTCCTTTCCACCTCACCAGAGCCCTCAGCCCCCCCTCAAGAAATTAAGTGCAGCAGCACCAGCTCCACCACCCTGCTGGTAAGTTGGCGCCCCCCGCCTTTGAAGAGTCAGAACGGTGACCTGGCGGGGTATAGGGTGCGCTACCAGGTGGTGGGCACGTCAGAAGGTGGCAGTGAGGATGGGGAGCCCCTGGAGGAGCCCACAGTCCCTGCCACGGACGAGCAGGTGCTGCTGCAGCGATTGGAGAAGTGGACCCAGTACCGCATCACTGTGTCTGCCTTCACTGAGATCGGCCCGGGCCCTGAGAGCGAGCCCCTGATCTGCCGCACAGACGAAGACGGTACATTCATCTCTGATGTGGCTAATGTAGTAATGAAAGTTTAGTTTTTTAGTTAAATTGTGATCTAACCCTTGGAGTTGGATGTTGGATTTCTATGTTTAGAAAGGAATTGCTGCAACATGTTTGAAGTACATGTTCATCTTACAGGCGTACATTAGAAAGCAACGATTTCTATGACATCCATATACTTATAATTACCCTATTTTCTTGCAAGGATCATGATGTCATTTCCATGTTAGTGTATTATATAATAATATTTTTACAATGCATAATTATCTCTTTAATAATATATGTATCACTTCATTAGTCATTTAGATATATTTTTTCCTTGAGCTAAAGTACAGATTTATTTAAGCATTGTGTGTCATGTTCTTGCATAGGCTTAATGTTATTTTTTCACTTATATAGCATTATGAAGTTTGCTTATAACTATAAATATACAGTCCTATAAGCAGATTGTATGCATTCTACGTAATGCATTACAAACATGGGCGCCATAGAAAGATTATTATAGAATGGTTACAAAAGCGTACTGAAATCCTTGTTCCCAAGTAAAAGGACTACATATAGCTGAGTAAACCAAACCCTATAAAAGGAAAATATTACACACTGAACAGATTACACACTTGGGAAATCAAGTGTCTTGCTGTTTAAACATATCAAACCAAATGCTATTCATAATAGCTGCCACATCCTATATCCTGCCTCTATCTGTAGGCTTTTAACTGTATCCTATTGCTCAGCTGAGAGTCATAAGCATTTATGAGTGCAGTACACTGCAAGGCCAAATCGAACTTTGCATTTACACTAGCAACAGTAGGTTGGAGGTTAAACCAGCAGGTGTGTGCCAAAGGTTGCAAATCAGATCCACTTACTTGAATACGTGCTTCAGGATGCTAACAATAAATAAATAGAAATGACAGATAAATGCATTTTATACACACCTTGCTCTACATGTGCAACAACTCTGTACCACAAACTGCTTTAAAAACACACAAAAGCCGAGATAAGTGTAAAAGAAAATATCAAGCTCTAAAGAACCACACAATTAACATAATATAGCCAAGTGAAATAGCAGAATATAAATAACAAAAAGGAAAAGCAGTTGAGTAATAAAACACGTTAACTGACAAGTAAAGATGGGGGGGATGTCACAGCACATCTAAATCATTGACGGATGGCTGACATTGCCTTCTATTCTCCACGATCCATTTCACATCCATTACCACAGCGTTTTAAGCATTTGTCTGACACTGACGTACAACGAGTGCCACAGCAGAGACGAGCTGAAATTGTAACCGTACCTTTTTAAAGACCCCAGCATCTGGAATTGCAGCGTTGAAAGCCACAGCACACTGACAATAGCTATAACACCTTTGCGATAATAACGTGTGACAGAGAAGTGCCAGGTAAAAAAAAAAAGAAGTGTCAGGACTAAAATGTAGAGAAGATGTTGGTAATAAACAACATTGGTGCATGATCCTGCCTGGGAAGATGGAGGAAATGGGGTTGTGATTTAAGGGGGAAAAGAGGATCAAATGGAATGCAGTTTGAGTGTAAGAGTTCTTTTAATGGCACATCCATCTCACAAAGGGTCAGTCTGGGCATACGGAAAGGCCTAGAAGCAAGGCCTTCCATAAAGGCCTATCATTATGACTGAGAGCCCCAACTGATGGCAGACAGACACATATTGAAAAGGCGGAGGATAAAGTGTTGCGTACTGCGTAAGATTGAACATGGAGTGTTGGTCTTTGTTGTTGTTATAATCATTTTAGCCCATTGTTGGTATGTTTCATGGATAGTCTATGTCCGTGCCTACGTAAGGAGGTTATTTATGTCTTGACATTGTTTAATATGCCAGTCTCATCCTGCATTGCTTTTAGAAATGGTGAAAGGATGTGAAGCTTTTTCCTTGTTTTGCATTTGATTCATGAAGAACATTTCCTCCTATCTCCCTCTCCCACTTATATCTGATTAAAGTTTTTGTTTTGTCTTAAACAGTTCCTGGGGCTCCTCCAAGGCGAGTGGAAGTTGAGGTCCTCAACTCCACAGCACTAAAGGTGATGTGGCGCTCCCTGACGCCAGGCAAGCAGCACGGTCAGATCCGTGGCTACCAGGTTCACTATGTCCGTGTGGAAAATGGCGAGTCACGGGGGCTGCCCCTCATCAAGGATGTCATGCTGGCCGATGCCCAGGTATGACCATCTCTCAGTTTATTTTGTACAAGTCATCAAACTATTTCAAATCAAGCCTCAAAGCACCCTAGACTCTGCATCCATGCAGTATTTGCTCAAATTAAATAGGAAATATGGAAATATGCCAGTTTGACTTCAAATCTGTTTTTCAATTATGATACAAAGACACAAAACAGGTAAACACAAAGTGACAGTGATTAATTCAAAATTCAAAGAAACTTTTTTTCAGAGAAACCGCAAATTGTTTGCTTTATACTCATTGTTGTGGCTTCCCAAATATTGCTGGAGAATGGGAAGCGATATGGGTGCTCTTCCCTCTTGGATTTCATTTCATATTGCTGTAATATTATTTTCCCCTCAGCCCACAACAAGAACTGTAATCAAAGCTTCACTCATCTTGTCCTCCCTCTTTTGCCTCCATGGCTTTTATTAGCAATGTCTAGACCCCTTCTTTATGGCAACATCTGCCATGAAATGTCTGATTGTGCACTTGTATCAAATGCAAAAACTCAAAGAAAATTCTGATTATAGTATTCTGTGCCTTCGGGGGGTAAAAATTGGCATGAAAACATTTCACCCAAAATCAGCCTGCACTGACAGCTCAAATTGTGATGGAGCCCTCGATAATGGGCTTTTTTTCATTTTACAAAACTTGTATGAGCATCCAGCCAAAATGAGACTCTCGTGCACAGTAGCAATCATTCAAATGGAAATGATAGCCTTAAAGCAAAACAGAAAAGAAAACTTGCACGCAATTCTACATATTTCTGGAATGAATGAATCAGAATCTATTCTTTCTATGTTCTATTTAGGCCAAATGCCACCAGAATCACGTTGCATTCCTTGGCATTTAGCTGACCACGAATCCAAGAGTAGAATGAGCTTAAATAACTTAAATTATAAGACCCAAGCGGAGCACACACCCAGCAGTCAACAAAGAATGCCTGGAAGAAATATCTTCTAAGTTGCATATTTTTGTCAGTAAATTAAAAAAGGACCTCATCATTAAAGCATTGTAAAGCAACATCGTAATGCCACTGCTGGCTGTAGCTATCAATGATTTTACAGTATCAGCGAGGTGCCTTATTTTTAGTTTCACACGTCTCCAGGCCTCACAGGCAGAGCTTTACAACTCTCAGCTTTGTTGCAGCTGCTTCTTATGACACAGCCTTCAAACAGCTTCTCTCTCTCCTGCTTTCACAAAACCAGTGACCTATTTCTACCCAACCCTCTGCTCCCAAACCTCTAATGCCCCCATCTCTCACAATCCTATTTCTTCCCTCTCCTTTCTCTGTCTTTCTTTAAAAAAAATATTACTTTCTTTCCTGCGCTCTCCTCTTTGGCGGGGGGGTTAGTGGGAAACGGACGATACAGCTGAATATGTGAGTACGAAGTTTCGCCTGAGTGCTCTGTGTAGCTGAGAGGGTATAAACAGTGGGTATTGCATCTTCCCGGTTGAATTCATGGTTTACACAACCACTCATATCTTTATTTAATAAGTTTGGATAGTAAAGTAGCTCAGAGGTTTCACCTCAGCTGTCTGGCCAGCCATCCTTTTGCAATATCTCTTTATGCTGCTAAGGTAAAAAAGGACAAACTTCTATTGCCAGCTAGTTTAAAAATTGATGGCTGATGCAATATCCACTGCCCACTGTGCCTGGAATGCTAATACTACTAGTGTCATGCTGTGTGTTGATACAGTGTGTTTGGTCTTGTGCTCTGGTGGTGTGTGTTTTTTCTTTTTTTGTGTGTGTTGAAACAATAGCATTTTATTTTTCAATGTGGTGCCGTAGAATTACTGTGCTTATACGTTTTTGTATCTCTTTAATTAGAAATATTGAGACCCTATGTATGGCTCTTGAAACCTACTCGAAATCCTCATCGCATCTCTGAGGATTGTTCACGACTGCAGTTTTCTACCAAAAATGTACCCTTATTTTGAACCTGCATTTGAAACCCCCAGTCCATCTGCATTACGTGAACACCATCTCAAGTGCAAGACAGTACTTAAAGCTCATTTACCTTTATTGACCTCTCCCATCCCTCTGCCAACCAGCCTGTTAAAAACCTCATTCTGCATGCGTTCAAACCTGCTCGACTGAAAGATTCATTAGAATTGATCGGAAGCCTCTCTTTGAAGAGGACTCAAGGAAACTTAATGGCTGAGGTAAAAACTGCCAGCGATTGGGCAGGATGTATTCAGCGTGCATGTATCGCAAAGTTAAGTTGTTGATTGGAATATTGCTAAAGGAATATGAAGGGATGCTTTCTATTTAGGTATACCTAATGTCCCAACTCCACCATGGAGACTCTAAGGATTTACTTATGGCATGGTATTCTATTACATGGAAGCAAAACATTACATTTAATGCATGCCAAGTGGATTTCAATAAAGAGGACTGGGAGACTTCACCTAGATTAACATGCTGCATAAGGCAGTTTGAGCTGCATGAAGGGGGTCAAATCCTAAAAGATTCATGACACATTTTGACATCTTCCTGTTCCTGTCTCCCATAGGAAATGGTCATTGGAGGACTCAAGCCAGACACCACTTACTCCATCACGGTGGCAGCTTACACCACCAAGGGGGATGGAGCCCGGAGCAAACCAAAACTGGTGGTGACCAAAGGGGCAGGTTAGTACAAAAATATACAATTTATTAGTTGGCTTTTTATCAGAAGTTTTGTATATTCGTTACAACGGCAATAAAGGTTGCGGGGTATAGGGGTTAGTCATCGTTCACATCCAGCTGTTGACATTCACTGTTTGACTGATCCGAACATGGAAAAGAAGAGATGGACAGATGCACAAGTTTCTCATCTGTAATTAATTACGCATCCATATCAAAGGCATGTCTCTAGTTAAGATTATTGCTTTTGAAATACACGATTTTAAATTAACATTCATTTTCAACTTCTAAAATGTATCCAATACATTTTTCTAAATAAACCTTTCTAAGCAATATCTGGATGCAAGAACAGTTCAGTCAGTTGAGTTGTTTGCTCCTACCAGGGTAGCATTTATTATTTGAGTCATGCTCAGAAGACTATCAAAAGATTCTTAGAGATCAAGGAGTTGGTATGAGGTACGTGGTAGATTTTCAGACAGATTATGACAGCTTGAAAGCCCCTGTTGGGTCTTTGGTTTGAGCTTTAAGGATGAAATACTGGAGGCTAATGCCTGCACACTACAAAGCCTTGTCTTCTTCACTTTTTTTCCTTGTTACCACAGGTAGGCACTCCAGTTTAACTGGACCGTTTGAGCCTGTGTTGGAGCTAGCGGCTTAGATACCATGAACATGATCTAAACCGGTGAGGCTGGCTGCCTCAGAGTGTGAAAACCTACCTTGACAGAATTTAACGCGTCAAGCCAAGAGAGGAGCTTCCTTTGTGCAAGCATCTGTGCCAGTCGGCATTCGAAGGCTTCAGAGATCCAATATGTACACAACTGCATTCATACTTATGTACAAACACACGTGCATACTTACCTTCTGACTCACACATATTCAGGAGAACTTGCAGTCTCCACCATTGATCACACACTTAAATTGTGTTCAGACCTATACAGCACAAGCATAAAACCCAACACATCAATAGATAAACACACATAAAGCATCCTCCCAAACCAACACACACACAAACAAAGGCACATTTCCCAGATCCTGGCAGGTGTGTGTGTTACAGGTGACAGGGTGTGTAACGCTGCCAAAGGGGCTGAAGTGAGTGGTGTCACTCTCCATCCTCCTGTCAGGGACCGCTGACTGATATGTCAGTCTAGTACACTCCGTCTGTCCCTCGGAGGGAAAGCCTCGTCTTTTTATCATTGAAGTGTAAAGAAAAGGTTTATGCCAGGGGGCCACGATAAATGGAATAAGGGAAGGGGTGAGAGGTTAGGAGAAGCGTTTTTCTCGCTGGTAAAGTGGTTGTTTTGCTTGTTTGAAGGGATGTTAGGATGGAATAGTACTGGATAGCGAATGTTCCTGCTTGTTATGTTATGGGATTTCTGAAATACCAGTTGGAACGAACAAAGGGAACTAATATGACAAAAGGATTGAATTATACAGGCTTATATAATTACAAAGACCAGTGTCGTTGTAGACAAACAAGCTTTTCTTAGGACTATCATTTAAATATATTATTTAAAAGTCCTGCAAGACTGCTCTTTCATGTGGTTTACCCTTGTTTAACTAAGCAGGCACACTTTAAAAGTGTGATGCAAATACATGAAATATTCTATCACATGAATTCTCTGCATGTTTGTACTTTTAAAACACACAAACACAAAGAACTTATGCGACAGCTGTTAAACTATCTACTTGAAGACAAGCATGACATCATAGTCTTTTAAGTCCTAAAAAGCAACATCAATACAAAACATTATGACAAAAGTAAAGACTTCAAATTTGATTCAAATCAAGTGTTTTCATCTTCAAGACATTCCAGAAAACCCTCTCTGGTGAAAAAGAATCAACCCCAGGATTTATTTAGGATAGAACAACAAGTACAACTGTGCACCTATTTGTGGACACAGACAAACAACAGTCATTTTGTGGCCAGGTTTAAAAATTGCCTTTTCATGATTCATACTTTCCATTGTCTTGCTTTGAAAAACGACTTCCTATGGTCAATGCGAGACAATGTTTTAGAGGGGGCCTGAATATGACTTTATTGACAAAAGATTAAAATGTTTATGTCTGGAAATGTTTTTCTGGCATCCTATCTTCACATTATAGAGTAGTTCACTGGGTTGAAAGCAGCAGCAATCAATATAAGCATCATCTTTTCAAGTTTCAGTGGAAAAAAGACATTGTCCTCTATAAGAGGAAAGTGTTGGGAAAGAAAACAAAGTCAAACTTACCAACAACAAACTCCAAACAAAATGAAACAACACGCTACAAAACATAACACTTTACAAGTAGCCTAAATTAAGAATAAGCCACAATACATGTACCTCTGAGCCTACAGTACAAGCAAAGACTTAAGAAGTGTTTTGATAATGGAAGATTTAGGGAATGCCAAGTCAGGGACTGGCACTATATACAGTACATAGAGGCTTATAAGAAAAAACAAATGAAAAGATAAGTGCCATTAGCCCTCTAGTGATCTGTAGTCATTCAAAGCTGCATTTAGCAACTTCACACAAAGTATAGGTGGCCCCCCGATGGCAGCAAAAGTTTCCTGAATGTTAAAGATGTTAAAACCCTAAGTCATAGGCTGATGAATCATTTCAGTGTTATACTTGTTATTGCGGTGCAGATACCAGAACTGTATGAATGCAGACAGGAAGCATTTAAATGTTACTGTTTATCACTTAGGAATTTATATGTGTATGTTTGTAATTATGTGAAGTGGTTTCCATTATATATTAATAATATTGCAGGTCAGAGTAGATGTAGACTCAAATAAACTGTTGTTACACAGGCACTGAAGATATAAGTAGAGTTTACCGCCCTTGTGGTATTTTGTTGTTTGACGAATCTTTATCCTCCACCCTCCAACCTTACAGTCCATCATTTTGATGGTTGCAGCCTGTGAAAATATGCTTAGAGATGTCTGTTATTATTATTGTTGTTACTTATTCCAATGCTGAATGCAGACAGCTTACTTGAAAATCAGAGCACCTCATTACATGTTTATTTACTTCCTGATTGTTATTTTTGGTCCAGTGAGAAATAATCAATGTAAGTGGCCCATCTTGTTCTCTTCTCTCTTTCTTTATCGCTTGCTTCCTTAAAAGCAAGGATGGGATGGACAATGGGAAATGTGTTGCAAAGCTCAATTTCCTACCCTACCAATTTCTCCCCTCCATGAGCTCCTGCCACAAACACACACATACACTTCAGAAGTAGGCAGACTGAATTAAAAGCAGAGGGAGCCAAAGACAGGAGAGTGATGTATTTGTCATGACCTTTTAAGGTTAAAAAACGTCCCCCCGATGTTCTTAAAAATGTTATTATTTTCTATTGTGAAGGAGTGCAGCTCAAAGCAGATCACCTTACATGACGGGCACCATGTCATTTGCACAAAGGCAATATATAATATGTTTTTGTGTATGTTGGTGTGCACAAGAAAGAGAGGAAATGAGAAGGAAACCTGATCGACCCTTTCTCAATCAGCCTCAGTGAGTGTCAACAGCAGGCTGGTAATACAGTTGCCTGATGGGGAAACGTGCTTGGAGGCCCAGAAGGAGGGATTGAACCAGGGTCGACCCTGAAATGGATGGAGAGGGATAGGGGGTCGGGGGAGGAGGTTAGGAAATGAAATGGGGGATTGGGCAGTGTGAAAGGGTAGAAGTGGGGAGATGGGGAAAGAATAAGGGTGAGTGTTATGGGGGAGAAAGATGAACACTGAGGAGAGGGACAATCAGAGTGTCCAGGAACCCTGGAATCACTTGTACACACACACACACACACACACACACACACACACACACACACACACACACACACACACACACACACACACTTCTGCTCCCTAATATCCCTTTTGGGCCCTCTTTGCAGCAGATTGCTCCTTGTCCCTAGTCACCTTCATCATCCCTCATTCATTCATTTTTCACCCCCTCTCCCTGCCCTTGTTCTCTCTCTCATCACCCTGTAGCACCACACACTCTCAAACACATACACAGTACACACCATGAACATCCACACCTCCTCCCGAAACCAATCCGCTGGCTCGCTACTCGTGATTCTTCTCCCCAATGAGCAATAGGCCACTGTTATAAATGTACAAATATTTTTAAAATAGTTCTGGGGCTACAAAGGTTGTAATGGATACATTTGGGAGTCTTTTGAGGTTAAAGCAAATACATCTAAAATGGAAAACACACATTCACAGGATCATTATTTCTGAATCTTATTTCCTTGATTGGTGGTGAGCATGAGGCAGAGTGGGCTTTTAAATGACACCAAGCTGAGCTATAGTATGTTTCCGGTGAGTATATGGAGCATTCGTCTCACCCAACAATCGGCGCCCCCGCCTTTCCATTACCGGCAAAGGCTCAGCTGACTAGCCACCATCCACCCACCAACCCCCGTCTTCCTCTTCCAACAGCCCTCAGAAAGAAGACCATTAGCAAACGGAAATGAATAATACGAGCAGAGGGAGTGGACTTTGTAGAGTGGATTGCTTTGTGTGTTTTTTACTTGGTGCAGGAACATACTATATGTAGACACGCACGCACAATGACACTATGCCACTATGCCACTGAGAGAGAGTACATTTTCCTCAGACTAATGTTGGCTCCTCCAAATTACTTTAAGTCCTTACTGGGCAAAAAGCCAAATACCTCAGTTTGGAGGGGAGTGGATATATAGGAGCTGCACACACGTTCTTGTTATATATGGGCATACACACTGCCCATTATGTATAAAGATACACTAGAGCAGATGACATAAATAACATATAAATAATAAGGAAAGAGGCCCAGATAGACGCTGCAATATAAATTCATGCAGCGTAATATAATGAATGCTGGATGTAAGTGATGAAGGAGCAAATGTATCTATAATTGTAGCTGCTTAAGATAATGATGAAATGTATGTAACACATTGAACTAGAGTTATTCAAATTTAAATTCAGTTTATTCAGCGTTTTTTTGTATTTATGCTGAGAAAGCTCTCACTTCCAGGACCAACCAATTTGCTTCCGACCCAGTTTGCCGACCCAGTTGGCAGCTACTGAATCAGAAATATACAGAGATACCCGGTCTTCTCACCACTGGTCTCATAAACTCATGTAGAGCCATCTTTAAGGGAAATACATATCTGTCTGTCTGTTTGCATGCCTTGAGAACCGTTTATCCAATCTACTTCACACTTGGTGAGTGTGTTGCTGGGGATTCAAAGACATGCAGTGTTGAAGTTTGTGAAATGTGGATAAACCACATGTTCAATATGAATAGACCTCGAATACGAGACATTGCCTTTCAAAGTGAACATATTTGAAAATATATTCTAAAAGACATGGCTATCCAATGTAAATGAACCTAAATTGGTGTTACATGGTCACCTTCTTTAACCTGTCAAGATCGGAGCTGCTGCATTTTGGAATGTTAAGGAACAAATGCAAAGGAACGTTTTTTGGAGAGTCTACAGGAAGTTGCAATTCTTGAGAAATGAGAGATAAAAGCTTGAACAACCTACTCCAAATCAGGGAATTACTCAAAACTGTTGGCTCAGGCGATATTGTGTGATTTAGGGTGTAGGTCTGCAGTTATTCCTTCACATATATTTCCCAGACATTTGTCCTGCTACTGCCTTGTATTTTTGATAAAGGAGGGACATAGTTGAGTAAGTCAAGATGGAATCTATTTACTGAGAGATAGGGCTCAATTACGATCAACCTCACTTATCTCTCACAAAGCTTCAATGGCAACTTGAGAACTGAAGGCTTCCCACAACTGCTGCTGCCTCTATCACACTGATGGGCCCTTAAAAAGAGAGTTAAGATGAGACTTGTCATCCATAAGAGCAGCAGAACTGGGCCACTCTGAAGAATGGTGTCTAGACCCCAAGTGTAGATCATCCATTTTACAACAAGAGATGACTATTACAGCTGAAAGAGGCACTGTTCTCTGTTAAGGTTTTAGTGACCCTTTGCAGTACAGACTGGCTAGAGCTTACATGTATCATGAAATGGTAATAGGTACAGCTATCACTCAAGAGTGTAGCGGCTCTTAGGATCTTCTACGTCTCCATCCAACTCAACCTGACTCCATTTTAGTAGGATGTTATCTGACAAATGGTGGAATTTAAGATGATTATTGAAAGTGCAGATACTTTCAGGTCAAACAGTATAATTGGAAAGGTCAGATGCAGTGTTTTTGACATGCTAAATAATGCTTCAGTAGTATTCTGTAGGTATAAATAGTGACAGTGCTGGAGCTCTAATGCCGTATGACTTGGCTTGAGAGCGTAGGAATTATATTAAATTCACTATAGCAATGTTGAATATCACTAACAGAAACTGTGTGTTCCATGTACAGTATATGTTCAATCTGTGATAAACGTCTACATGTATAGTATTACAACCTGTCATTTGAAAAAAAATCATCTTCATGGTTCTTGAAAGCACAGAAATTAATATTTATTTTATTTCTTTTTCTGTACAGTGCCTGGTCTGCCCTATCTGTCAGTGGCTCAGGACTCCGAGTCATCAGCTGTGGTTCGCTGGGACCCTCCAGCTCTCACTCATGGCATGGACCTACATGGTTACCGGCTCCAGTTTGGCCGGAAAGATGTCAGTCCTTTGGCCACACTGGAATTTGCTCCCCAAGAACGACAGTACTCTGTGGGCAACATTCACCGGGGGGCCACCTATCTCTTTAAAGTCTCAGCTAAGAGCAGGGGGGGCTTCGGAGACGAGGCTTTGGTAGAACTTAATGTGCCTGAGAATACGCCAGGGGGATACCCTCAAATTGAAGAGCGCTCCAATGTGACATGCTGCTCTGTGCAGCTGTCCTGGTCTCCCCCTGTGCTGGCGGAGAGAAATGGGGTTATCACCGAGTACACTTTGGCTTTTAAGGAAACTGGTACCGGAGGAGCGCCACAGGAGCTCCACTTGCCCCCCAGCCAGTCCAGCTATGTTCTCAATAGCCTCAAACCGAACTCAGCATACGATGTGAAAATACGTGCACACACCAGTGTAGGCCCAGGGCCCTACAGCCCGCCTATCCAGTATCGGACGGTGACCTTTGACGCAACAGGTAGGGTTTGCCTGTTATCTTTTCCAACCCGGTTGGCAGGGGGTTGGCAATTGGCTAACAAACAATCTGCAACAACACAAAAATGAAAACTGCCCCACCCCCTCCTTCAACCACCTTCACTTCTCCTCAAGAAAGAGAAAATATTGATATTAATATTGTTTGCCGTTGGACACTCACTTCACTAACACAAAAAAGGTAACACGCAAGTCAGTAAGTTATAGTCAGTCATTTAGAGAAAGAGGAGAGCAGCATAGAGTTTCAAGGTAAGTGCTGTTCGGTCAGACACTCCTGTCAGTCATCCCTGCAGCCCTTTGCCAAGCACACTCACACAGCTAATGCCATCTCACAACCCCAGTTTGCAAACAAGGTAGGACGTCAGTCAAACCCAGTCACTCAAAGAGTATGATTGGAATATTCTAAGTTGACAGAAAGTGGATTTTGGTTCTATATTTATTTATTTATTTGGTTTTGGGTTTGTTTTGAAATATTACCCCCTTCCTAACCCCCTTCCTCATCTAATTCCTCCTCTCCCCTTCCCCTGTCCCTTATTGGGACAGTTTGTGGCATGGCATCCCCCTGATGCACTGCTAAGGACTGTTGGCATGCTGTGTTTTGAGTCTGTCTCGATGCCCGGCTGGCAGCACGTTGGCAGTGCCAACCCAGACTCTGTAGAAGCATAGTTACTGTTGGCACTGGGACCAAATGGTCAGTTGTTAATCCTCAGGTCATGGGTTCAAAGACAGTGTTGAGATGGGTTGGCACTACTTACGATAGCTAGCCAGCGGGCACACCTTTGTGCTCCGTGGGTCTGTCATACATGAGTCTTATGTGCTGTGTGTCTTAACCAATGGCGTTGCCCTTCTCACAGCCAATCACAGCTCACCGTTACACTCACTCTCCAACCCAGAGGAACGTTGCAGAGGAACTACTGCATCTTTTATTTTTTTTAACCAAAGGTTCTTCTTTAGTTTTTCTTTCCTTGCTTTCTCAACTCGTTCAATTTATTAAAGTTTTTTTTTGCATTTGTCCATTCAACAGACGTTCCACAGAATTTCACTGTAAAGTGGGCCACCAAGACTACAGTGGTCATTGCATGGAAGTTCTCTGAAAGCAGGTCTCCTTACAAATGCACGGTGAGTTTAATATAGGGCCAAAAGATCATTTCAATTCTCAGCTGAGATACCTTTAATAATTTCCAACATGCCCATTTCCTGAATTTCATTTTAATTTAACATTGCATATGCCTTCTTACCTTCATATGTTACGACCAAAACCCATCTCCATACCTTTCCATCCATCTTTTCATCCATCAATTTACTGACCTACCAACATGATCATACACTACATCCTCTCTCTTACCAATTACCAATTAAAACTTCTGCACCATTTATCAAACTTTAGATTGATTACAACCGACAGAAGATGGATGTGGATGCCAGGCAGATGAGGGTGCTCGTCACCGGGCTAAAGCACAACACCACTTATGAGTTCAGGGTGACCTGCCAAGAAAGCGCGGATGGTGGGCAAAAACACCGTGTGTATGCCAAGACCGCGCCACTCATACTGGTCAAGAAACCCAAGCTGGACATCTACGCTGAGCCTGACAACATGCTCACCATGTCCTTCCCACCAACTGAAACCAAGGAGGTCAAGTGAGTACACCTTGACTTAAGATGGGTTCTGCAGGCACTGTTTACATTAGATTTGAGGGTTAGGGTATTGAGGTTTAAGTCTGGAGATGCTTGAAATCTGATATTGTATAGATTGAGATCTTAAGGTGTCTTTAGATGTTGAAATGGGAAATAAGGTCTTTGGATTCATGAGGCTTTCTGGATTTGTCTAGATCCTGCAAGAATTGTAGCTTTAATTTCCTTTCAACCTTGTACCAAGTGTTTGCTATACATTATCAATACATTGTTTGCAGGACCTTCTATGTGGTTGTGGTGCCACTTAAGAGGACCTCAGGAACTGTCAAAAACCTGAAGAACCCCGATGAGATGGACATGGAAGAGGTAGAGTTTCTTTTTTTTAAGTAAACAGTGTGTGGTGATTCTGGAACAACATAAATGATAAGGTTAACGGGGTGCATTGTTTCAAACATAAGGTAGAATATGTGAAAGGAAAAGGCATCTTCAAACTTTAGTAACATGTTTTTAAAGAGACTACGGTAATCTTTTCTCTCTGGCCAAACTGTGTTTTTTAAGAGTAGCGATTCCAGAAACACTTGTTTGTGATATAACAGTTGCATGTGCAAGGCAAATTGTACACACTATGTAGCAGACATCAACACACACAACACAAACTTGAGTACATCTCAGCTATGCTAATTCATCCCCCCCCAAGCATGCAGAAGAGAGAATTACACAGTCTTCTCCCACTCTTACCATAGCTTGAGGTCACCTTGAGCGCTACATCAACAACCACCATCCCTATTGGATTTGGGATTACACACATTCCCTCTGCTTACTGCCTGCCTCTGTCTGCCGTTTGAAATGAATGAGAGAGGCTGAATGTTGGGGGGGGTTGGAGCCTGGTTACATGGAACATTGCCAAATAGTTAGCAGCTATTTTTATCTAAAGGTACAGTTACACCTACAGGTGTTTTTTCTTTGGTCTCAGTCAGCCCACTGAAAGGGCTCCAGTGATTTTACACCTGAATCAAAATAGTTATTTATTCATTTAAAACATTTGATGACCTATCATTTTGCCAAGTTAAGTTAGTTTCAGGTCCAGTTTATCTTGTGTTCAGAAACAATGGAGATTATGAAAAAACATTTCAGTTATCGTAAAAAAATGTTTTTGCTCAGACGTTTTTCAATAAATGTGGGACTAATGTTTTAGAAACTCCAAAAACACAAGAGGATACTAAACGGAAAACGCAGTCGTAAACTAATGCCCTTTCACGTCAATCAGCTGTTGCGGGAGGTGATTCCAAAGCGGCGCTCGCGGCGTCAGCTGCCTCAGCTGGACCAGAGGAAGCCCTACATCACAGCCTGCTTCAGGCAGCTGCCGCCCAGCTTCACGGTGGGATCGGACTATCGCCACAGCAGCTGTGAGAACAAGCCTCTTGAACCTGGCCAGGAGTATGTCTTCTTCCTGCTGGCTGAACTCAATGCCACCGTTGGGGTGAGTAACTAGTTAAACTCAGTTCATCTCACTTTAGTAGACTTACTTTTGGTCAATTGCTTTTGTCAGAGTGGATTTAATTATTGATTTATTTTCACTTTAATCTTTTACATCTGAATCTAACATTGAATTTGTATCCAGTTTGTGCTGCTTAGTTTAGGTACTGTTTCATGTGCAATAAACTTCTACCTGATCTCTCTGTTCAGAAAATGTTTGCCACCAGCCCTTATACGGACACAGTGATGACCCCCGCGCTGGTGGTGGACCCCATGACAATAGAGACTGGGGACGGACTTATATGGGTGGTGGGCCCAGTCCTCGCTGTGGTCTTCATCATCTGCATCGTCATTGCCATTCTCCTTTATAAAAAGTGAGTTGGCCTGGTAATTGTAGTGACTGCATTGGACCTACATTTATGCATGTAACAATAATATTGTTCAACATCAAATGATAGGAAAGAACATTAAGGGTTATGATACAAGGCTAATTTTAAATGTTTTTTCATGAAAACATTTACAGTATAATACATATATATATTCTCTTAACATTAAGATACAAAGGAATTCAACCCTTTAACGTTGCATAGTAAGTGCATTCTTCGAACCTCTGTTTTACACAAGCAGTATAACTGTTATCCATGTTGGACTGAAATATTGTTCACATGCTAGAATTTCTGCTTTTCCTGCAACACACAATGAGCAGCTTCTTGTCATTTGATGTAGAACCAGTTATTTTGTCATTGTAACAAGGGAGTTGGGCTGTGGGGAAATAATTGCATGTTAGGGAGCATGTTGAAAGAAGGGCTTATTCTATATTCATAGCGGCATGATATTGAAAGAACCCAACAACATTTTTGCATGTAAATATGAAGGAGCTTTTCTTGTGAAAAAGATGGTTGTGGGAAGTGAGGGGGTTGGAGAAAGGAGAGAGGAGAAGATTCCTTGAGATGGTGTTCAATTATTTTTTACACCTGACAAAAAAATAACTTATAATTCTGGAAAGAATACTCCGTAACAGTGTTATTCAAACGTAATAGTCAGTTTAATGGTAATTTCTTCAAAATGCATGCTTCAAATTAGGTATGTAATGCTCCAACATCTATATGAACGATAACACAATAACAAGTCCAATATACCATATTTGTGACGATCTTAAAGAGTGATTACTTGCAAAAATGTTAATTTATTGAAGTCTGACATATACCAAATATTCTATAAGATTTTAAGCAAGTTCCCTTTGTTCATATGAACTCAGCTCTCCACACAAGTCTAAATAAATACTATTCCTCAGCATAATTGGGCTTTTGAACACAGGTGTATAGTCAACACCCCCCCATCCCTTGTTTTGCAGTGAGTTGCAGCTTCAGTCTCAGTAACTGCAAGTCCCAAATGATCAGTAGTGTAAGGGTCTCCCTACACGGTACATACGGTGCATGGGAAGTTCCCTGAATGATTTTGAAGGGGGTTAGTGTAAGCCACAAACGTACAGCTTGCTTCTGTCAGACGATCCCTGACTGTCTGACCTTGCCTTACCTCAGTCTTTGTGGTTAGGGAGAGTAACATCTCTCCTTGGATCTCTCTTTTTTCTCTCTTCTCTTTCTGCACCCCTCACTCTCCCTTCTCCCCCTCCATCTCTCCCTGGTGAATAGTTTCTCCCGGGTCTGCCCTTGGCTCTGACATTCCCCTTTCCCATCTGTATCTGCACCCCCCGTGCACACACACATAAGCACACACACGTACATAGACATACATACACAAGCTGAAGAATGTATGCACTAACTCACACATTTCATTGACTACTCACTTGCTCTCACACACTGATACATGAGCACACACGCACACGCATGCCTCAAATGCTGATGAGCTTTATCTCGTATTTTGCGAGCCCAGCAGCGACCCCTGTGCATTTTAAACTGCTCTCTATTGATTTATCTCTCTTCTTGCCTCCCCCCCTCTCCCTTTCTCCTTGTGTGTTGTGTTTTCACCATCTTTATATATGTATTTGACTCCTATTGCTTTCTCTGGAAACAGCAAGCCTGACAGGTAAGGTTTGGTTGTACTTTATTGCATTTTACAAGGTAATACAAAATAGCCTGCCTCAGCAAAAAAAAGATGCCTTTAATTAGTGAAGGTGAAAGTGAATTTTGCGTACTTGACAAACGCTCTCAGCTCCTCTTTTGTTGATTCGGCTTCAGTCGAGTGTTCTTGACCCGCTGAGTTACCAGTCAGTAGGAGTTGCTAAGTTGTTTAGGTGCCATCATTAGTGAGAGTGGTGACTGCTGGATCAAGTGCTCATTAAAACAATTTCTGTTGTTTTTGCTGTACGTCTTCCCCTCTTTCTACTCTTTGTTTGTCATACTTTCCAGCCGCAAAAGAAAAGAGTCAGAGCCGCGCACAAAATGTCTCCTGAACAACGCGGACATTACACCCCACCACCCTACAGACCCTGTGGAGATGAGACGCATCAACTTCCAAACTCCAGGTACAGAAAAGACACACAACATGTACATTCAGGAACACAGGTAGTCCTATTGAAAGATTGAACAACATGCATTGCTAAAACTGATTTATTTTGTATGCAACAATGACCTTTCGGTAAATTACATATTTTCCTTTTCACTGACAATATGAAGGATGTGAGGAAGGAAGTTTAGTCATCCATCTTTAGCCGTGACAACCTGTAAAACTTCAAGGAGTTATGTCCCACTTTGCTTTCAAGAAAAATTGGGTCTGCTTAGGTTAATACAACATTTTGCTCATCAATAACTTACCAGAGATTTGGAAAATGCTGGGGACAGTGTTACACCATTGTCTTAGAGTATTAGTACAATGGTCGAGTAAGTAGCTGCATTGCAAAATACGTCATGGGTAACTGATATAGCTACAGTTTTTATTCTATTTTTAGACATCCAAAGCACTACTTTTGATTGTTGGATAAAAACGGGCCTGTTAAAAAGCCATCTAAGGCTTGGATTTCCAAGGCTTAATTGGATGTCCATTCTAAAACAGGTTTTTAGTGGAGTGCTCATGCCTGTTATCTCTCCAATTCATTGTTTTTATTTGGAAAGAGACCAAAGCTGTAGAAATAGAACTGAGTTTTAAGGAACTACATACAATTAAATGGAGGCCACTGTTTCAGTGGCTTAAACAAACTAAATGCAAACGTTTTGGCTATGCAAAAGAAAACCTGTGTTAATAACAAGTTTCGCAGGAATTTCAAATCCTCATTTTGAAACCTACTGGAATGGAAAGCAAATTAAAAAAATTGGCATAACATGTTATTTGGGCAGCTCTAATCCAAAATCCCCTTATTGGTGTCAAAACCTAATCTTGGCCAACTGCTATATTATATTACTGGTGCAAAATAAAGACACGCACTTATAAAAAATAAAACCTTCCTTCTTTACAACAAATTATTTATTACAGTTATTATCCATGAAAGGCAAAGTGCACTAGTATTTTTTAACACTCACATAACTGGCGTGTTGACTTACTTTGAAGTGAAAGCAGGTTGTAACATTGGCACACACTTGCAGACAGCCTACACAGAGATTAACGATTCACAAATGATGCAACTCAAAGTTACATTTCTGCTGCAACATAGATGATGTCCTTGAAGTGCTCCCACATCATTCTGTTTGACATTATGTGCCTCCATAACTACGTGCAAGCCATATTTATATGTTTGTCCCCATGTAACAATTAGCCATTTATGATAACAAATCATTAGAAGAGTATGCCTTTTGTTGGAATGTATATGTTTATGTTGGGAACAAACCCTGTATTGAAATTCTGCTGGGTATCTTCCTGTTTTCTCTTTAGTCTCACTTTGTGTCTCATCAGAGCTAAAGCCTGGTGTTAACAACAGAGCCCATTTGATCCCAAACTCTTTGTCTAAGGCTTCTCCATCTTTCACCTGCCTCTATTGCAGGCCAATATCTATCGCCTCCTTTCTTTCTGTTATTTTGTTTCTTTTACTTAAGCTATTTACAGTTTGTTGTCATTAGTTTGACTCGTAGAGGAATTAAGTGAAATGTTTTCAAATCTGAGTTTAGTCACATTATTCGCCTCTAGTAAGCATCATGAGTTGTCCACCACATGGTTTACCTTGTATTGTCTCTTTTAAGTGGTTTATTTGACAGAAGAATTAGGCCTGCATTTTGAGGAAACTATTATTTGAAATACATTGCTCTCACCTGCCCAGGCTAATGACAGAAAGGGATTCAATCTTCCAGAGGGGGAATTAACACCCTTTTTTTCCCTTATGTTCCTTTCCTCTTTTGTTTTGTTTCCCGCCTTGCTGTCTCTGGCCTAGTTGTCTCTCAGCCATCCATCTGTCATCCCCTGCCAGTCTCTGCTCCATCAAAAGGCTCAGATTTCAAAATGGAGCGTTTTCTTTTCATCTTCTCTGGGAGACCAGTCATACTGGCTGAGTTTTTATCTTGGGAGAAAAAGCGGACTTCTTTACATCAGAGAAGAGTGAATGAAAGAAGTTGCACAAACCCGCTTATACATAGAAATATGGAAGTTAATTTACCTCTCCTCGTCTTTATCTTGCCTTGTATCCAGAGCCCTATCAGTGGCTCTGTAATGACAAGGTTATAATGGCTATTCCTGCCATTTGTCTTTTTGACTTCCAGCTCTTTCCCCTGTGCCCTCAACTGTCCTCCTCCGTTCTTTAAATAATAGAAACTCTTGTTACAGCCACTTTTACATTACATTCCCCAAAACATGCTGAGAGTTCTCTTTATATATGACAAGCATCCTCATTCGACAGCCCTGTCATTGTCCTGCAGAATTGGGGCGATGTCGTTATCTCCGCACACGGGGAATTTAATTTGAATGGACATTTTAGCCCAATTAAGTGGGCCGGTGAGCATTTGTGAACATCCCCATCAGCTAATAGCGACAATTGTTCAAATGAGCATACTCCCATTGCACATATCCAAGGCTTCTGCTATCCAACAGAGCATATGCAACATCGGCAATGCGTGCTCACTGACCACTAGTGCTGGAGAACAAAAATATGTTTTTGATTAGGCTTCCAGTAAGCTAGGCTTGGCTAATGCGTTTCAGAGAGGGTGTGTGTGTCCTTGTGCATGTCTGCTGTAAAGCCTGTAGGTCGTGTGACAGCCACACAGTGACATCCCATAACCCCATGGGGCACAGAGTGGCTCGTTTTGTCATTATCTTCATTGGTGCCTGGGGTTTGATTATCAAATGGGGCCAGAGTAATGAAGCAGCAAAACTCAGTGGATATCTGTTGTCTATCTCCAACCAAGCCCCCCTTTAGCCATGAAGACTTTTTTGTATCTCTTTTTTCACTATCTTTCGCTTCCATTTTATCTGTGTCTTGCCTTTAATTTTTTTTTAATCTTTTACACATATATCGGTATCTTATATCAAAACCTTAGTTTCATATTATCAGTTTGATATTATAATATGAATGTACACCTGTGCAGGCACAAATAGAAGAAGAGAAAAGCTCTCTCTTACTCCAAAATAAGACTTTAAGTGTAACTCTGGGTTTACTCTTCAACATATCTCTGATATACGTTCTATTTATGCCGTCTTCATCTGTGTTTATCTATATCTCCCTCCCTCTAATACAACATCACATATGGCATTTCACGCCTCCACAATTCTGTCTTAAAAAGTGCCTTCCACATTTAAGCAAAATGTTCTTGCAGACAGCTTTAGAAACTTGCAGAACCCACGGACAGCAGCCAATCGCTGGCGTGCGTTAGCAACCCACTTGTTTCTCCAGATTACAGCTACGACTGCAACAACCGTGCCCTCCTCCTCACAGTGTTATTGAAACACACACACAGCACACGCTCACACATAAACATAATCAGACACGCCTGTACCTCCCTCCTGCTGTGATGAATGACGTTTGGAGACAGTGGATCAGAGAACCCCCTGCTAGGTGTAATTAGTCATTGTCACAAATCAATTAGGGAGAGGGGGATGTTCGATGTATTTATCTCTCTGCTCTCATTTGGCGCCACTGGCCTGACGTCCTCTTGCTAAGACGTCAGTGCGAGGGAAATCTAGCAAAACTCTGTTCAGCAACTTTTTTTAATAGAATTAAACAGTGTTTTTAGGCTTACATACATCATCTTTATTGTCATTAATTTTGGCTCCCAACTTGGAATGATGATAGTATTCCTACCTTTTTGTTTTATCAAAGAGGTGTGAGAACTTTTTGGAAGGAAAACTGTGTTTTTTTTCATTTTGCTCGCAGATCAGATTTATTTTCCATTTCCCTTCCTAACTTCGTACATGCTCTGGAACAAACCATCTGTTTTCTTTGGACCAAAGTTTCCATTTTGGAGTGATGTGATCCTGTCTATCACTGAGCACCCAAGTGATCTGATTTCAGCTTTTTGCCCTGGCAAAATGTATTTCCCTCAATTGATAGACAGATTGGCAGCATCTCATCATCTGCACCTGTTAGCAAGAGGACCTGAGAATACCCGGACGTAGCATCGCTGGCTGCGGCCTCAGAGGACTTCTCCTCTGAAGCAAATCAGACTTTGAACCATCACTGCTTCCCTTAATGCTGTGACTCCCATCAGCTGTGGCTCCACAGCTGTCAGCCATGAATGTGGACACATTTCCACACCTTTCACTCTCAATGCCTCACCACCAAGCCACTAACAAAGGACCTTTTCACAGTTCGTTTTCACCAGGAAATATAAGCTGGTTTTTTCCCTCTCTGTCTCTTTCTAATTGCTGTCAATGGGCCCCTTCCAACTGGTGTTCACGAAAGCTCATAGATAGCAAATCAATTTTCTTATCCCTGATCTCTATGACCGTTGATATGGGGCTTGGCAGAAGGGTCGCCTCAGCAGGGGATTCAGAGGTGGAGGCCTCTGGCTAACCAGTCTGCTCCTCAGGAGGGCTATAGCCGATCTGATCGGAAAAGGTGTGACCTACTTTTTCATATCCGTGTGGTAGTCTTGCCTCAAGTCTGTCATCCGGCAACCCGATAAGGGAGTTTACTGATAGTAAAGTACTTTTATAGGAAAAAAAAGTCTTATTGTTTTATTTCTTGGCCTTCAATCATTTTGCATTCTTTTATGTTTTCTTTTTACAAAGCATTTTCTGTTGCATTACAGCCTTTTGAAACCATGTTCCCTTATGTTTGCTGTTCTCTACAGATTCTGGTCTAAGCAGTCCTCACAGTGAAGCAGATTTTGACTATGAAAGTTAGTCTCTATGCTTTTAGCATTTGCGTACCAGCTTTCTTTATCTTTGTTTTTACGCACGCTTGCCTCCATTTACAAATACATAATTTGCATTTGTTTGTTTTTTCACATTATGCAGCAAATATTTCAGCACTAATTAATTTGATGTTGGTTTCTATTGGTATACCGGGCTTTTTTTCTGTAATTGGATGTCAGTCACGATATTCACTTGGGCTGTTGGCTGTGCATTAATCCACCATGCATAAATAACCTGTACAATCACTCCCGCTGATGTAGAGATGGTTGAAAAGAGATGTGTTACAGGAGTTATCCCTTTTTCTCTACCTCCCCTTCCTCACCTCCTTGTTGTTGTTCTCCCTTCTCCTTTATCCTCCTCTTTCACCACCACTGCTCCATTTCCATTCTGAAGCAAGGGGGTCTTTTCTGTGCTCAGAGATAACGAGCAGAATTAATTAAAGCGGTGGCAAACAATGGCTCGACATTTGATCACCCTGCGCACTGCCAAAGGATCATCCTGGAGAAAAAGAGTTTCTGGTTTTTGTTCTTCCCCCCTTTTCCCCCCTATGTTCTGTGATTACCCACAGACAGACTTCTTCCCTTTTTATATGTTAATATGCAACATCATAAATAGGCTTTTCGAGACAGACTGCTTTGGCTTATCAAAAAGAATCATTATATTTCTCAGGCGCATCGACTGCGGATCGAGAGATTGGAAACGTGTAATTAGACGCTAGTTTTTTTTCTGTGTTCATTGATCACGCTGTTGATTGCAGTGAAAAAATAGTGTGTACGTGGATAGTAGAAAGCCGTGCACAAGGGGGTTGTGTTAAAGGAGAGGATGAGAGCTTTGGAGTGGGGGTAGGGAAAAAAGCGACAATCTGTCCTTGAGTGACTTTGCTCGAGTACTGGTCACATCAAAGCCCTGTTTTCAATGAAAATATTCTGTTGGATAAACGCCGTGCCGTGCCGTGCAGTTTGTTAATGACTAAAGGAACGAGATAACAAATCAGCAGTTATTGACTCTTTTTTTCATTTTCCAAACAAACATATTGGTTAACAGAAATGGATGCATGAAACAGATTGGTTAAGATTAGATTCATTTGCGAAAAAATTACAACTTCTAATTTATATAAGAAATCATGCTGGTAAAGGGCAAAGTGGAATATAGTCAAATTTAGATTTTTTTCAGGCCTAGTTTCCTAAAGTATTCTACCTTAACTTTAATGGAATAAACAAACAGTAGTTACCATATCCCACTGGCAGGGCGTTATATTTTATTTGGATGCATTTTTAAACACTTTGGCCTGATATATCTCTCTAACTGTACAAGGCACTTCAACATGCAGACAGTAATGTGGGCAGTAAACACAAAATGAAAGGAATTGATTGAGTTTGACTATATCAGTAACTCACACACACTCACAAATACACAGAGACACACAGATTCAACTACACAACCACACAACCGCACACACACACAAACATTCTTTGATCTTCCCTCAAACATCCCGGTCTTGTTCTCTCAAGGAGAAGTGAGGGCCTCTCATTTGCATACACGCTTACTTATTTTCCAATACCTTTTCCCTTTGAATTTGATGCAAGTAAACTGACAACTAAATTGAAGTTGCAGTATTCCCTCTTTTTCTTTATTCTCATTTTAATAAATACCCGCAGCAGAAGATGATTAATAACTTATTTTCAAAGGGTGCCAATCTACGTGCTTTGTCAGCTCATTGAGAAACTGAAAAACAAACACACACTTTTCTCAAAATACATTTATATCATTTGATTTATTCTATTACCTTCAAACATTTCTTTTAAGATATTGAAGGAAACGTGAAATTCAACAGAGGGTTAAAAAAATAAAAAGGAAACTATAAATGCAGTAAACATTATTTAAATGATGGTGATCATTAAGGGCCCGGCTGTTTGTCAAGTAGGCTGCTAATGCAGTGTGTCCATTCATTTTCCGGGGGGTTGTCACAACATCCAGTGTCATCTCCATTTGTCTCATATGCATTGTAATCTTTGTTCATCGTCATGTAATTAATGCTGCTGCATTGTTCTGTCATTGTAAAATGAATTACCATTACTAATGAAGAGCGTCAGTGTAGAGTTGGGCTCCCTCTTAAGCGCAACAAAAGCAGCCAAAGCGTCAGTGACCCCCTTGACATTGGGGGTGATAGTAAGCATTGTGAAAAGGGAGAAATTAAGGATGGTTAATGTGATTATGCAGATTAGCACGCCCAATTACTTTTTTTGTGAAGAGATTTAAAAGTGTTGACTTTTGACCTCATCACTCGACAAGAAGAGAGACCTCTTACTCCAAATATAACAGCGATAAGTAGTGCCAGTCGCCATGCAAGGAAAGAGCCACAATCTATGGCTGCTCCATATTCCATTACATGGCCACAGCATAATGCTCCTAAATGGATTAGTGACTGGAGTGCACAGCAGTGCTGATAATATTGTAGCATGAGCAGCACAATATGCAGTGGAAATTGGAGCGAGCCAAAAACACAAAAAGTCTCACGACTACCCCACCCAACTAAAAGTAACTTATTTCTGGAAATTCTTTGAGATAAACAGCAGAAGGATTTGGGAGGAGAACATGGTTAAGTTGCGGGAACCAGCACATGAAGGGAAGTGTAGAAACAGCAGCTTGCTTGCTTTGCAATGACTGAAATGGAGCAGCTCACTGTGTCACTTCGCATCACTCACACTCCTAAACCCCCCCTAAATCCCCCTCACACCTCCCCTCCCAAGAGCCCCCAGGTCAGGGCTCTGCTCTTGTATAATTGCCTTTTTTAGAGCGGCACCATTCTAAATGTTCACCTAACAACACAGCACATCAAGAGAATTAAAGATTAAGGATACAGTATTGCAGTATTTTTGATCTGATCAAGCTGGTTCAAAGCTTTTCTCTCATCAATATTTGAATAGAGGATGGTGCTGAAAGTAATAAAGTTCAAATGTTAAAAATAATATTATATAGTAATGATTTAGGTAATGATAAATAACTTTCCTCAAAGGGATACTTCCTTTCCGAGATAGATTTTCCCCTAACAAATGATCCAGCATTAAATTATCCTCTTTTTCTCGTTGCTAACAGCTGAAAGCAAATGTACTTTTAATTATCTTCAATGAGAAGTAAAAGGCATGCTTTCAACATTTCAAGCATTCCATTGAAGACTAAAAAAGACAGTTGCATTTCTTGTCCTGTCTTTCATCATCAAGCACGCATACTTTTCATCTTGTGTCGTTCTTAACTGATTTAACTAGCTATTAAAAATAACTGATGCCTTCAAATGTTTTTCTGTGGCTTCAGTCAGCAGCATTGGTCCTATTGGTGGGTGTATCATGACCCTAATTAATACAGTTTGTGTGGGTGTTTGCTACAGGCTGCTATAGTAAATAATCAGTCAGCCCTGCTCGACAAACCTAGCTGTTTCTGAGCTCTGGCCTGGTCCAATCACGTGCCTATAACATCACCCGTCAATACATGTTTGTGTGTGTGACATTCACCATGTTCTGCACAAGCTTCCTCACCACTAAAACACAACTTCCATTGTTATGTAAGCAACATTTTCTCACCCATAAATGCTGTATTGTCTGACTTTTAAATGTTGAACTTGTGTCCTGTGTGCTTCACTAATGAACCTTCTGTCCTCTCTTACGCTGTGTGCAATTTCTCTCTACATTTTTTGGCGAGCAGGTATGATGAGTCATCCTCCCATCCCTATCTCAGAGCTGGCTGAACACACAGAAGTTCTCAAGGCCAACGACAACCTCAAGCTCTCCCAGGAATATGAGGTGAGTGAGCCAAAGGTCAAAGTTTTTCTTCTGAGTATTGATTTCTGCCTGATTGTGTTTTCATTGGAACGGGACACAATAGTACTTTTTTTCCTCCAGGGAAATGGCTGTTTTGTTGTTTTTTCCTGCTAGTCCACAATGGTGTAATAATGAACTACAGTATCAGTTGTTGTCAGCCATCTATTTCCTCAGATACATTGGCAGCCTTAACATGGCAAAGCAATGCATTTGTCATTTTCAATTATATAAAATTCCCCTTGGCGGGTTATTGCAATTTCCTGAACTCCTTAAAGCAATTGTTTTCTTCTTCTATTACTTTGTTTGACAGGGACTAAAATATGTGTTGGCATAACACTGAAAAACAAGTCATTTTATCGGAAAAACAAATGTATTTGCTAAATAATAAAAATCATACGGTCATGCACTCAACCATGAAACAAGGGGGAAAAAAGAAGGTAAATATTTCTGCTGCAAAATGAAAAACTCTCCTCGTGAAAAACAAAATGGATGTGCTTACAAGCCAATGTGATCACTGCTTTCAGGAGAGAACGTTAGAATGACTGAGAAATCAGGGGCTTAAAAACATGAAATCTTTTTTGATGAATTAAATCCTAAATATTTTAAACATTTACTTAAGAAAACGTGATAACGTAATGGCTCTACTAGGGGACTAAGCAAAGATGTTCGTTCTTTCAAAATATGGGTAGAGTGTGGTGTATGCACAACTCAGTCTGTTTTTTGGGGAAAAGCTAACTGATTGTCAGGCTTGAACATAGTGTGTGTGTGTGTGTGTGTGTGTGTGTGTGTGTGTGTGTGTGTGTGTGTGTGTGTGTGTGTGTGTGTGTGTGTGTCTGCGTGTGTGTGTCTGCGTGTGTGTTTGTAGAGGGGATAACTGAGCTGTCTGAGCTCTGAGAGCGCGGTGGTTATAAATGACACCAGAGTTGATTAGAAATCAGGAGTGCTGAATCAGCTCTCGTTTGCATACAAGCAATATCCCCTCTCCACCATTCCTAAATCACCGTGCCTGTCGCCTCGCTGCACGCCAGGCTAAGGTAGGAAGCAGGTACCCAGGCATAGATTGCTGTCATCATGCCTGCCGGGGAATGTTGGTGGATAATGACTTCTCATAGCAATCCAGTATTTCTTGGGTGTCTATTATTCATAAATCTACATCCGGGCTATGTACCAAGTGGACAAGCTTGTTCCATTCTCTGGAAAGAGAGACGTGATGCCAAAGTTGACGCTTTGCTACAACTGCAACTTCTAATTACTTGGCTTTGAGGGAACATTAAACCGCCCGTTCCTCTTTTCTCCCACTCTGTCTTTTTCACTCTCTCTGTCCCGCTTCCCCTTCACAAAACCACCCCCCAGGAAAAATAAATGACCAAATTAAATAGAGAAGTGTAATTTTAATTTTGTTATTTTCTTGATGAATGGCTGCTCGTCCAGGCGCCCTGGCTTGCCAAGCGCAGCTCTACGGGGCTTTGACTGATTGGTTTTTAGCCAGGCGGGATGTGAGGGTGGAGGAAAAATGGAGGGAAGAGGGGAGAGAGTTGATGTGGGGAGGCTTGGTTAATGATGAGGATTCAGCGAGGGAAAAGAGAGAGAGAGCGGGGCATCTCAGCTGGAGAGTGGAGATGAAGAGGAGATCATCTGACATAGAAACGGGAATGAAAAGGCAGCCACAGTTTTACTGACGATACTGAAGCCATGAGTGTATTATCTATCTTCTGTCAGGCAGTAAGCAGCAATGTCCTGCAAAGCTGGCCTTCTTAACAAGGAGCCGTCCCTCAACTACAAAAACACCAAGTCATGAAACATAAGAGGGAGAAGTTTTAGCTGTTGCTGAATTTTTGTCTGGACTTTTGCGATACACAAGTCCTACATCAAATTTATGATAACATGATTAAAGTTTGGTCGACACAGATGTGGTTTTAAAATGTTTGAGTTGATCGATGTTTCAGGGAAGTGACCCCAATCTTTATACAAACACACACATGCTCACATAGCCTGCCTTAAGGTAATCTCCAAAGAAAGGAAAAATAGCTGGAGGGGGCTGCTATAGAGGGAGTTTAAACATCAGAGGGGAGACAGGAGATGGAGAAAAGAGATAGAGAAAAGACTTTGAAGATTGAGGGACGAAGATAAGGAAAACAGGGACAAAGAAAGAGGGATAGAGATGAGGGGGCAGAAATAAAGACAGAAACAGATGGAGTGAGGCTTAAACAGAGGGAAGCTCTGATTGCTGTAACGATTGCATGGAAATTGTTAGATCAGCTTTCCAGTTGGACTTCATTCAGTCTCTCTCCGCAGCCCCCCACCCTACATTCTGAAGCCCTAACTGCAAATAACCTTCAAGCCTCCGTCCCCACACCAACAGAGCGGCAGACGCCAATGAGCAAACATCAGATCGTAATGGAATACTTAATTATCCTGACAAGGAAACAGAATATTTAACTGGAGTTCTTGTATTTTAAACAGGCAGCTGCATATATCTTTACCCGAGTGCCAGGCTCGTTGTAAGCCCTCGCCTCGAGGGGGAGATCTGCCGCCTTCATCAATATTGTTGTTTGTCATTATGCACACGCTACATTAATGATCTTGATAAAGTATCGTGTGCAGATGCTGGCAATGAGCAGATTTTCATGATACCAAGTTCCTTTTTCCTTTCGGGAAATCACACTCTTAATCTCTCTCCTTCACCCTCCCTTTCTTATTTCTTTGATAACATTCAGGTTTTATTGTTATTCCTCCCATAGCTCCTCTGATTTTCTTATTTGTGTGTGCTTGTTTTGCCTGTCTCTGCCCCCCCCCCCCCCCCCCCCAACCCCCATCAGTCTATCGATCCAGGCCAGCAGTTCACCTGGGAACATTCCAACCTGGAGGTGAACAAGCCCAAAAATCGTTACGCCAACGTCATCGCCTACGACCACTCCCGCGTCATCCTGGCCCCCATCGACGGTAAGGCACACCCATCCTCACACTCTGCATCTACACCACACGGAAGATGAGCTCAGCTCATTGCTGATCATTTGGGAAATCCTCATAATTACAGAGTCAGTTTGAGTTATTAGGAATTTATACTGGATAGACCGGATGGGGTTAGACAGAGAAGACTAAACTAGAACAGTGCATAGCAGTGCAGAACAGAATACATTAAATACAATGAAGTCCTGTACAATGAAACAAAAATCGAGAATGGACAGGATTACACAATTATTGTCTTAAGACAATGCAGTAACATGAAACGAAACCGAATAAGACATTTAAAATAGGATTTAGTCATTTATAGTATGTGAGGTTCAGATTTAGTTCAGCAGAAACCAATTGAATTTACAGAAAAAAACTGTATGTTCAGTAAATCCTGTTATTTCTGAGGGTTTGGTAAGGACTTGTTTTAGCTCATCTATGGACCCAGCACCTGTCAGAACTCAGAGTGACCAAGGAATTCAACCAGTGTTTCACCGTCCCATTTATCTCTTCAGATCTGCCCCCCTATCATGACTTCCCTCTAACTGCCCACAGACACAGTGCTGAGTATCTGGGAGCCAGACAAACTCCTCCTCTGACTCCTAAATCTCATTGGACATTGTCAGAGGTAGTCACCCTTCGCCGCTGACATGGTGCTGGCGTTGCATCACCAAAGAGACTCCTCAGAGGAGTGCCAAACTCTCTACTCCAGTACTCTCCTTTTGTGCGAGATAACTGCTTGGACTACATTTCGACATCTCGCAATAGTCAGGCCAATTTGAGGGTGCAACAACATGCATAACAAAATTATCCCAGGGAAAAAATGCCTCGTCCATAAATACATAAATTAATCAAGTCTGAAATTTCTATTTTACACTGCAGTGATTTTGCCATTAGTCGCAGCAGTAGAACAATTCATGCACGCTGCCATTCTCTGTTCATTTAGCTATGACTAAAGCCAAGCCACTACAGACGTGGTATCCGTTTTAATGACATTTGCCTTTCTTTAGCTTTCTTTGTTTTTTTCCTCTTCTCCATTCTTTGTTCTCAATGTCTCTCACTCTCTCTCTATATATATATATATATATATATATATATATATTTCTCTCTCTCTCTCTCTATATATATATATATATATATATATATATGACTGCCATATGGGGAACTGCAAATCAACAGCTGGTGGGATGTGTGCTTTTGCAAATTGTTACCATATTAATGTGTGATATCTGCTGAACACATAGTGTATGCGTGTGTTGGTGTGTGAACATCTACCCGCCACATGTAAAGTATTTAAAGTGGCTTAAAATGTGATTTTCTTAAATGCTTATTCCGTTGTACATATACAGAAATTATTGACATACCATCACACAAACAATAATGAGACTATAAAAGTTGTATTTTTTGAAATTCTCTCTCCCAACAGTTATGCAACAAGAACAAATAACTTGCCAATTTGAAGTCGGCGCCCTTGTGGGTCCAACTGATGACATAAGATGTAATATGATTGTGATCATAAAAATAAAAGCTTGGAAAGCAGCCAAGAATTCTAAAGTAGTGAGTGAGTTAGGGCGCCCAACGTCATGCACTCATTCAACCCTCTTTCGTCTCTTTAAGATCAACGAGAACATGAGATGTATCTTATATTGATTATTGTGACACAGGAATCAGGGATAAATCATTTCAAGTAATTTGCAACACCTGGAGTAAATCTGTATTGGCAGCCGCTGAAAATAGTTTATAATATCACTGAAAGTACAGCGTGACAGGCAATTCTTTTGTTACTCTGTGACTCCACACAAACAGTAATTACAGACTGCTGAGGTCATTAGTACCACCCATTTCTATGGGTTCTGACAGATGAGTAATTTACTGTCACCACATATTGACCCATTTAAGGAAGAAAGTCTGCTAACGTTAGCTAGACAATACCCCTTTCGTGCAAGACAAACATAACACTGCAACCATTGACTCAGCAGCTGTTCTTGTTCTGCTCTTACTAAGGCTGCAGCCACACAAGGACGATAACGGAAACGCACCGAAATCGTTATCAAAAAAGTCTTCCGTCCACACGCAACAGAGAGGCGAAGTCCCTCCCTTTCCGGGGGAGCTCCATGGGACCTTATTTTGGAAAAATTATGTATTGAAGTCAATGGGGAGAGAAAGATTATCGTTTGAATTGTGCCACGAATTACACATTATGATGTTTGTCAATTTAAAAAATAATTTTGCAAGTCAAAAAAATTCAAATGTGTCATAAAACTGTGTTTTAGTAACACTTTTTTTTGTGTGAAACCGCTCAATGAACTACATCTCCTGTCTCGCACCACACACCAAGAAGTCAGTATACGTGGTCTCATGCAGCTGGCTGATCCAGTAATGAGTGACCCGACAGTAAATATAAACATATTTATAACTAGTTTAGGTAGTTTGAGAGGTAATTAAAAAAGCTAAGGGTGATGATCTAACTTGAAGTGTGTGTTTTGTTCCGCTCATCGCTCCATCACAGCGGGCGGAGCTGCAGGTTATCATGCAGAGATGCGTGTCTCCTCTCCTGTCCGATTAGACTTCACTCACGTTTATGTCCATATCGATCAAATCTAGCTGGAAGCTCCTGCTGGGTGCACTGTGCTGCGAGATACCGGGACCTGGCTCGAAACACTGGGGCNCCAGCTGAACATTCAACATATTTTGCTAAAATGTTGTCTTTTTACACATCAAACATGTACACTGAAGAAGGTGTGCCAGCAGAACACATGCAGTCAAGACGATGTGTAAAAAGACAACATTTTAGCAAAATATGTTGAATGTTCAGCTGGTCTTTATTGATTTCCTGGATTAGTAACCCTGGACTCATTGTCTTGAACTCGCAAGTACAAGAGATTGTATTTATTTATTCATCTCTTCAGCCCCCTCTTTTTTACTCTTGCTATACAGTAGGTGTACCAAAACTAGTTGAAAATGTCAAAGGTCACCTCAGAGGCAGGCGCAAAGGAAGAGGAACAACAGCAAGATCTGTTGCTGATACTGCCAAGCGTATTCTTCACTGTCTCATTACAGGGCAGCCACTGCCAGCCTGCATACTGGCTCCCTCCATTTCTCTACCTCTGCCTTGTTCTCTCTGTCTTCCTCTTACTTTCCTCTTTGTCAAACACACGCGCATGCACGGCAGACAAACAAACACACTTAAATACACCACAAGCACACATCGGGAAACTAACTCTGACTCTCATACACACACATACCTGCTCATGTTTCACTATGTGTCTTATTCATTTTTCATCCAGCCTGTCTGATGCCCTGAACTCACCTCTTTCTTTGAAATGAACGCAAGAAAATAAGCATTCAAACCTTCAACACCGAAACAGCTCGGCATTAGCACTACAAAGAGAAAAGCTAGAAGAACAACTGACCACGGACAAATCAATGCAAAATCAAATATAAATGTAAAAACTAAAAAGCTTGCATCTGCAAAAAGTAAGTTTTAGTAGAGGAGAGTTTTCTCATTATATGTTTGTGAGAAAATGTAAAATGTAGTTTTAAGAGGTTACAAAAACCCGAGGGGTCATGAACGAACTCAAGGGGAATATTTTACAAACCTAAATGTGTATTTGTGAAGAAGCTTATTTTACGTACAGGGAATACTGATGAAATGAATAGCAAGGAGGAGCAATATTCTCTATTTTCTGTCTTTTAACCACTCTAATCTCGAAAACTGTTTCTTCTCTTCGTGTTAGCCTGGGCTCAAATAAATCCAAAACTATTTAGAAATTGCATTGCATCACACAAACAGATGAATTGCGCTTTTTCTTAACTCTGATTGCAAACATCCACCAACTAAGTAATGTGTGGCGATCAAAACGTAATGTGAGTTTTACCTTTTTCAACCCCCTTTTCTTTCCTTATTCCTTTCTCCATTTAATCCTTAGCTTACAAATGTTTAAAAGCAAAACTCAACACGTTTCTAAGAACAGCAAATTATTTTAATACTAAGATAAAATATGTTTGTCTATTAAAGGATATACATTTGAAAAAGAATAAGCATACCCACTATGTAGGATCTAGACCTTATGTGTTCCACTCCCGAATAACGTATCTGAAATTGTATTCTACTTCCTGCAGTTTGTTTAAAATTGACACTAGAACATAATGGTGGAGATATTGTGAGAGAGAGTCAGAAAAGGGTAGGTGGAGAACATTAAACAAAGGTGAAGACAGGAAATGGAATGTCTTAAGGCTTGGCCCGGAGCTACAACTGGTTGAAAGAATGATTGGTTTCAATCCCTTTAGCTTTGACTTTTTCCTCTTGCTGGGGCTCACCTTTTTCCCCTTTCATCATAGCTCGTCCGTCTGCTTCACTCCCCCATTCCATCCTGCTTTCCCAACCCTTGTCCCATACAAAGGTACCTAGAATTCACTGGGCTTGATCTATGCACAGACTGTGCATGTAGCAGGATCCAGAAGCCCATTAAAATTCATCATCACCTGCTCCTTCACAAGTGAGCGGCCAATTAGCAGACAGACTGATCAAACAGTAGGCAGGCTGCGCCCCAACTCCCCTCTGAGTAATAGTGGGTGCGTTCCCAAACCTGACCGTCACAGTGTGGCAGATTTTTGGAGTTTCCAGGCAATTTAAAACCACCAAATGAAACGGCACATGCAGCGTGTCTGAATCCCCGTGCAGCAAAACAACAAAACCTCACTTGTGCAAACAACGTAAAAACAATTAAACCGGTAAATATGTTTCCTTTTTACATGGTTGGACATGGCTGAATCCAATAAATATGGTAACGCTTTTTTTCTGCCAACAATTGTAAACATTTACACAGACTGCTTTTACCTTGGCTGACACTAGTTTTCTTTACATTGGAACAAATGATTATCAAAAATAAGATGCACCAGAGAAAGCAGGGGAAGAGGGGTTGGAGGCAAAAGAAAAAAAAAGAAAAAAAAGATATACATGTCAGTGCTGTGGATGCAAACCAGACTTGTAACTTGGCATACACAAAGAGAAAGCAAGATGATTGGAACGGTTTCGGAGAGAGTAAGAGTGCTGAGAGATGGAAATAGAAGGGTGTGTTTGATTGGTTCCACCTGGTTGGGAATGGCAAAGGAAAATAAGCAGGATGTGAGTGTGACTGTGTTTGTGCACAAAGGTGTAAGGCTAACAATTAAGGTAATGGCTAGGTCTGGTATCATATGGCAAAACCAGAAAACGGCACTGTGTGTATTCTCATGTGTGTCTGCTGATTTAAACAGCCCAAACTGCAGCTTCATGGCTTCACTTCTGAGACTCAATAAACTTGTTTTCTTTTCTGCTTCTAGAACAGCTCAGGCTTACTGTGATCTGAATGGTGTTTTTTCCCAACATAAGCATCATTGTTTTTCATCAACAAAAAAAAAAGATTATCATACCAAATCTCATCAATCACATTTACTCATTGGGATGCCACAGGGGAGATTTGCTACAGTAGTCATAGGTCTTAAGAGTGCGGCTGTGTAAAATACAAGCACACAAAGCGGGATAGCTCCCCATGATCTCCCCACAACAGCATGAGCTGACAGTATCCCAGTGGCAACTTTGTCTTTCTTTGCTTCATACGCTTGTCAGTCCCTCTCCAAGGACTCCCAGAGGACTGTGTGCAAGTC